CATGAGGGTTTTCCTGGAAGCTTCCCTACACAAAAGGAAGTTATTTGTTTGCAACTGTCACTGAAATTCAGCATTCTGATGAGGAAGCTGGAGGATGAAGGAGCACAACAGTGCTGTATCAGATCTGCTGCTACCCCTTCCCAAAGCAAGGCAGTTTCAGCAGCAAAGCACTCTGTAATATTTTACAGAAGTGTAAAATGACACCCTGATAAGCAGGTGTTTCAGTGCCATGCTGCACACCAACCTCCTCCTCTTGGCAGGAGAGAGGAGCTTTTCTTCCCTCTCTGATCCTCAGAGCTTTTTGGCAACTGCAAGATAAAGATTCTTACCAAAAGCAGACTCATTAACTTATCCGAGGAGGTTTTAGCCACCCCCTGTTCATACTGCAAAAGCAATAGGAATCTGGGTCAAGAAAAAGACAGGTTTGTAGGCATTTTCAGGGCAATGTTGTAACCCCAGAGGCTAACATGAGTGCAAGGAGACCTCACCCTTGGTGCTGGGTGGTGGAAAGGTCCCGGTCAGCTTGGCTTCTGTTCATTTTTCAAGCTTTACAGTAGCAGTAGATAAGGGGATTTGATCTTTGGGAGATCATTGCTCCCTCCAGGGCTTTAAGTTGAAGCAATGGCAGATACCCAACTCATTGATGCCTGGGGAAATGTTCACGGGGAAAAGAAGGGAACAGTAAACAAAGTTTTTGAATTGTCAAACAAGATAAAATTCCTGGCCAGGTACATCTGATGGGACTGGAGACGTTCGTAACCCACAAACTGGTATTCTTACTGTAACACCTTCACAAAGATCTTACAAAACTGTGTTTAGCACTGTCAGTCAATAGCACCAACACGAATGCATGGAGGAGAAGGACCTGGGGGTGCTGGTCAGTAGATGGTCAGCCGAACGTGAGCCAGCACTGTACCCAGGCGGCCAAGAAGACCAAGGCTTGTATCAGAACTAGTGTAGCCACACTGCCTTATGGAGCACATCCCTGGTGCTTCTTCAGTACATTCTGTGAACTTCCCACATAGAAACTGCTGTATGCGTTTTCCATAGATCATAAGGGCGGAAGGAAATACTGCAGTAAGAGAGCTTCTGTCAAGCACAGAACAAAACCAGACTGGCATTCCTATTTGAATAAAAAATACTCTCCTCTTAGTTATAAAGTTCCAATATTCCACCACTTTCAAATTTGCTAATCTATTTAACCACTACTCACACTTACTATTAAAAAACTATTTTTTATTTTCATTCTAAATTTGTCTAGCTTCATCTCCTGGTCAGTCTATGTATAAGCCTGCCTGTTAAAGCTCCCTGGATGATACTTCCTTTTCCCAGGATACACGTTTCTAAAACTATCCAATCATTCCAATATCGATGTATTAAATTGATTAAGCACATCACTTGAGCTGCTGGACTCAAGCTCTTTGAACTCAAGCTTGTGCATCTTCTAGTATCTCTTCCAAGGCCTTGAATTCTTTTCACTGACCTTTTCAACCTTTCCATCTTTTTGGTCCTGCAGTATCTGTCTGTTTGTGGGTGCTCTCATCAGTTTGCTGACCAGGACCTCTCCACCACCAAGGCTGACGTTATCTCCTTGCACTCATGTTAGTCCCTGGGGCTACAACATTGCCCTGAAAATGCATATCCAACCAATTATGTGCCATGACCTCCACTTTGGGAGTCATTTTTCTTAGCATTCTGTCCTTTTAATATTCTTCATTCCTCCAATAGTTTTCTAATATCATAGAAGCACTCAGATGAGAAGAAAGACCTCTAAGACCACCGAGTCCAACCCCAGCCCACCCCACCATGCCCACTGCCCACGTCCCTCAGTGCCACATCCCCACAGTTCTGGAACTGTGACCCCACCACCTCCCTGGGCAGCTGTGCCATTGCAGCTCTGCTCTTTATGAGAAGAAATGTCTCCTAATGCCCAACATGAACCTCCCCTGCTGCAATTTAAGGGCATAACCTCTCATCCTACTACTAGATACCAGGGAGAAGACACCAACCCTCACCTCACTGCCTAGCAGTGATTTTATACTTTTCCTCCTGGCCATTAAAACATGAATTAAATACACAGAGGCCAGGTCTGCAGGACCTTGTTTCAAACCAAGCACTTATTCAGGAATCTTCCTGCCCAGTTACATCAAGGACAACTAGCTCAGCACTTGGTTTTCAATTGGTTATGTATCTGTTGATGATTGTTTTCCAAATGGTGCAGCGCTCATTCTAAGTGCATTACTTCAACAGTACCACTTCACTAATCACAACTAATCTGATCAAGAAGATACAAACTGAGTCTGACCACATTAGGTTTGCCAAAAGCCCATGTATGCTGATTGGCACCAGTTAGGTTTCTATTTACTGGTCAACAAATTAGCTTCTTTACTGCTCCATTAGTTTATTTGCCATCAAAGTCATGCTGGTAAACTCAACGTGTCAGAAACTGCCCTGTGCAATTCCAATCTCTCTCCCTCCTTGGAAAAAGAAAGAACAGGCATTTTCCTCCTGCACTCTGGGAACTTTGTCCAAGACATCAACAACCAGCAGCAAGTTTTCAAATTAAGGAATTCTGCACCTATTTCAGTTGGGACTGAAATCACTGAAGGTGAAATTCCAGCTCCTTTTGGATTACCTCCGAAAGGGACCAACAGCACACTGCACAACTGCTCACAGCCAAACCACAGCCTGGAAACTGCTCTGGAAACTCTCATCAGCACTGACCAGTTTTATTATTTTAAGGCAGCAACAGGACAATTTCATTCTGTTCTGTATTACCTGTACTAACAACGTATGCCCATTTCTCTGTCCCCTCAGCAATCCTTTTTTTCAAGTCCTTCTCCCATACTGCACAACTCACAGTTTGCATTCCTTCTACCAATCTTTTCTTGTTCCCTGGAGCAGTGCAGCTTTCTTCTCGCCACCCTTCCAAAGCTTTCCTGCAGGGTGACACCTGGCCAAGTGTTCTTAGACAGCTCCTAGTTATTAATATCTTTATGTTCGCATTATTTACTCGGCTGACATTGATTCCAGCTTTGTGAGACAGACTGCTAAGTGCTGTTAGATGCTGGTGTGCACCTCATTTACATGCAAGAACTGTAATCAGGTCATGATCACTTGCACCTAAATAATGACTCATTGTAGCCCTGAGCAATTTCTCTTTGTAAGCTGAATGCTAGCAAAGAATTCACCCTGGATATGTCCCTTTTCATGCTTAAAAACTCTTTCCTCTATTTTTATTTTCTATTCCTTTTAAGAAATTCCCACGGCATCACTCATACAGAAAACCCAAAAACCAGAACCACCACTGTAATCACTTTCATGCACTGCACTTCTGGAACTGCATATTCTTTTATTTCCTTTAGAAGCACTATATGTTGCACACTCTGAACTGTGAATGCTGGTGAGCTCCAGCCAGGCAGCAGCACGGACAATCTTAAGAGAAAAATGTGAACAGATTCAGGATGATTCACCATTCAAGAAAATTTATCACCACAGAATCCTTTTCTATGAGTCTGAGCAGGACCTCACAACAGAAAATCCACATTTAAAGCTTAATGACAAACTGCACAGCATCCAAACCACAACACAGAGGTAGGCAGTCTAATTCTGGGGACAACAAGCAGCCTTGTCCTTGTACATCCAATAAGCCTTTCATTAAGGAGAGCTCGGAACTGAACAGTAGCATGACAGACTTTTTCTTTTATTATTTATGAGTTGAATTACACAGCGAACATTAGAATGATGATATTCCATTGCATCACATCCAACTCCACTCAGTGCATAGGACTGGAGAAAGTACAACTGTTGGGAAATATTCCGTGATAAAAAAACAATCACATGGCTAATTACAGATTGGTAAAGCTCAAAACTACGTTTTTAAGGAGTTCAGCACTGCAACTATTTTTTCAGATCAAGTTATGGATCTTCCATGCTTGATACAAAAGAAAATCACACCACGCTTATTCTCACTGCTCCACCTTCCTGGTACCTCGACGAGCCACCCTCCAGCTTTCTCTTACTGAAAGGAGTGCATAAACAGCCCATAAAAATCATCCAGCACCAGGAAAGGTCACAGCAGCACATGCTCATGTTGAACTGTCAGCAGTTCTAAGACATTCAGATTTGAGTCATTTGGTTTTCCAGTCGGATATTGTGACAACAGACAGCAGTTCAAGAAGAACCTAATATTTACAACAACACCCAAAGGAAAACAGACAAGCATCAACTCTGCTTACTCTCAGAACTGCAAATTGCTGAATACTCCTGAACACAGGAATCCTCCATTTTATACAAATTATATCCCTTTGCTCCTCTTTCCTCCCTCTTCTCCGTACCACATGCTTAAATTTATCCACGTGAGAAGACTGCAACTTTTCCCAAAGTCCTACAGATATTAAAATCATAGAATCATAGAATCACAGAATGGCCTGGGTTGCAAAGGCCCACAGTGCTCATCCAGTTCCAACCCCCTGCTGTGTGCAGGTCACCAACCAGCAGACCAGGCTGCCCAGAGCCACATCCAGCCTGGCCTTGAATGCCTGCAGGGATGGGGCATCCACAGCCTCCTTGGGCAACCTGTTCCACTGCCTCACCACCCTCTGGGGGAAAAACTTCCTCCTAACATCCAACCTAACCCTCCCCTGTCTCAGTCTATAACCATTCCCCCTTGTCCTATCACTATCCACCCTTGTAAAGAGAAGTTAAAATAGATTTATTTGGGTGCTCAGTTTATTAAAAATAGAATGTGCCAGAATTTGAGGATTTTCTGAACTTTTACTCTCCCTGGCAAATCAGGGAGGCAGACTGACTTGAGGTGGGTTCAAACGAACACCAGTACAATGGTATTCTACCAAAATCACTCCATCAGTTTGACTTTATAATTCCAACCCAAGGCCTCTTTCCAAAGCCCCACACAACCACACAGCCTTAGATTCATATCGTTGATTATTCTATATTGCTGATTAAGTGGAAGCCCGATTACAACAACAGATACTCACACTATATGTGCAAGATCAAGTGGCTTTTCTGGCTGCTCAGGAAACACGGGACGAGGTGGTTCTCTGCTTGGTACACAGCCAAGTGATTTACTGATTGCATGGCTCAGCTTCTTCGCAGGCGATTTCTGGTTTGGAAAAGAAGTGACCAAAATGAGACCACTGTTACAAAGAGCAGGGAAATGTGAGCAATCAGATAACAGAGAAACACGAAAAAGAGAGTTTTCGGAAACATTCATTTCTGCTACACCACACCGAGGAATTGTAGAATCATACGATCGTTGAGTTGGAAGGAACCTCTAAAGGTCATCTATGAGTACTGAAACTGCACAGATGAGCAAGATGGGTTTTGTTGGCTTTTTTTTTGGGGGGGGCTGGTGGTTTGGTAGTTGCTTTTTTTTTTTTCTTTTTTAGTGTTACAATACTGAAAAATGAAAGTAGTTTAACAAAAATATGTAACTTCAAGAAATACAATGCTCAGTGTTTGTGTCAGAGCGGAGAACCAGTGCAGGGATTTCCCACCTGCTCTGACAAGGACCTTCTGGACACAGGTGTTGTATTCTGGGGAAGGGCAAGGGAAGAAATAAAGACCTGATGCAGGAGGAGGTCCATCACCTATCTTAAAATGCTGTTCACTCCTCAAGTTTACGATTTGGAGGCCAAAAAATTCTTTTTTCAGAAGTAACCCACCAAGTGCTGTGTTTCTGATCCAACTCCCCACACAGATGCTGCAACCTTGTGGCTGATTGCTAGTCCCTCTCAGTTCCTATCTCTGTAAGATGCTCCAGTGGGAAATTTGGTTCAATTCTGAATGCACTTTTAATCATAGAATCAATAAAGCTGGAAAAGACATGTAAGATCAAGAACAACTGTTAACCCAGCCCACCATGCCCACGTCCCTCAGTGCCACATCCCCACGGCTCTGGAACACCTCCAGGGACGGTGACCCTGGGCAGCTGTGCCACTGCTGTGCTGCTCTTTCAAAGCAGAAATTGTTCCTAATATCCAACCTGAAATCACAATTCAACTTCACACTGATTTAAAGAGAAGGCAAGGCCACCCAGTACCGGGGTACACACACACTTACAGTTAACATGAATGAGTGCCTGGCAATTAATGACAATTACTAACAACGGATTACACAGTTAATAATTACCAATCAGTGAGCTTCTTCATTTCTGGGCCTCTTGGCTTTAGCAAAATACAACAAGCAATGAAGGTTTTTAGAGTAGGGAATGTGCGTGTGAGAATGTTGTTCCCTCTGTGCTTAGGCGGCTTGTAGCAGATCACAACTCATTTTAAGTGAAACACTCAAATAATTGGAAAATAACGGAAGATAAAAATTCCTTTCAAATTAGAAAAGAAATACGAGTTGGGTGCCCCTAAGAATACATTCGGACTTCTGGTTCTTAACTGAAGTTTTATTACCTTCTCCCATTCTCTTACAATTCAAGTTGGAGCGAAGTGAGAACTGTGAGAGGCACAACTGGAGGCTGCCTGTTGGAACTCGTGATGAATGTTGGTTTGGAAACAAAACCACAGAAACGTAGAATCACTAAGGTTGAAAGAGACCTCCAAGATCAACAAGGCCAACCATCACCACCACACCCACTGAAATTTCTTATGGTAATTTCTTCCTGTTAGTACAGGAGGATTCCTCTGGTGGACAAAGCGGCTTTGGAGGCAGCTGAGAAGGGCCACCTGCCTCTTCAGTGTGCAGCTCTGGGCTCTGCAGACAGATCTGAGCCCCATCCAAGCACTAATGCAAAACTGCTTGGCTGGATGTACAGATTCTTATGGCTGAAGTGCACAGCACTCTCGCCACAGAGGGCTCTACAGAGGAGCAGCTGCCTTTAATTATTTTGAAAACTAATGAAAAATCACAATTCATGCTTTATGTTATTTCCTACCAAACCCACAGTGAAATTCAAATGATCATCTTTCATTTTGCTATCACATGCAACGATAGTAAAAAATTCTGGGTTTCCTGAATTCACCCTACATGTTGAAAATTCCCACATACACTTATCTCTAGATGTTCTCTGCTTCTAGTCTCGGTGCATTTCTTTCCTTTCCCTTTATCGTGTTCATCTTCTGGTTTCTGCACAGACCATCTATCTCACAGTGCCTTTTCTGTGACCTCTCTGCAGCACTTTAGCCTATTTTAAAAGTGTTTTTCCACTGTGGTAACAGACATTACATCCTGTCGTGCTACACCACCATTTATATTGTCGAGCAAACGCGGTGCTGCCTAGAATGCAGAAATAGAGCAACTTCACTTCATGAAAATGATAGAGGAGAGATAATTTCCATCGATTCCAACTTTTGAATGATGATTCTCAGTGTGGCTGAGAGTGAAAAAGGCAGAGCATGCCAAAGAAGCACTTCACTGGCAAATGCACCTGGTAGGGATAGCTGGTTTCTCTGAGAAATAGCATTTTATTTTGTTTCCCAATGAGCTGAGTTCTACTTTTCTGTCTCTTTGACATCTTCATTAAGCATCTTTGAATCACAGAATCATTAAGGTTGAAGAAGACCTCTAAGGTCCCCAAGTCCAACCTCAGCCCACCCCACCTTGCCCCCCGTGGGCACCCTCCCCCCCCCTCAGTGCCACATCCCCACGGTTCTGGAACACCTCCAGGGTTGGTGACCCCACCACCTCCCAGGGCAGCTGTGCCAATGGATCACCACATCCCTTTCAGGGAACAAGTTCTTCCTAATACCCAGCCTTGCACTCCCCACCTCCTAGAAAAGCAAACAGAAGCCCTGCAGTCCCACGATCCTCTCCTCTACCACTGACACCACCACAAGCTCCCCCAGTAACACTGTCCATTTGCCCATCTCTAGCACCACCAAAGTTTCACCATCGTCTTCCCCAGCTGTTCCTTCTTGACTTCAATCTATATTTGTAAATAGCTGGGAGCAAACTATGTTTCATGAACTATTTGCAACTTCCCATCACACTGGGATCTCAGTCATGTCCAGCTGGGCAGTTGGACACGCCACTGTGGTATCCCAGCCTCCAGGTTCCACACATCCTACAGTCCAATTTATGCTCTTCAGGTTTAAATGGAAACACAGCCTGCGTGCCTTTAATTTCAAATACTTTCAGCCATCACCCATTTCCTAGGGGCCCAAGGCAATTCCTCTACACTCAGTGCAGCCCCAAGCAAGCCAAAAGGTCGGATATCTATGGTTTAAGGAACCAAGGAGGCTTTTCAATAGCTACATTTCAGTGTCTGGTTGCTGAACATCTCAGAGGTCCCCTTCTTTTCAGAATGGTTACTTAAGATGTACAGTTCTGGGTTTCCTGCCCTCTGAACACCTCTGAAGTTCCCCATCTGAAGTGGACAACTGAATTACGGATAAACCAACTATCAGCTCCAGCACTGTTTCTCTAACACCACTTACAACACTACGTTTTAGATTATTTGAACATTTTTTTTCCAGTTCAAGGACTGAGCAGAGCAGGTAAATAATATCAAACCCTTCTTTCTGCAGGCACAGCACTCACATGGCTGGCCTCAGGCTTTGTGCTGCTCTGGCAGGAAGCAGCAAAACCATACTCTTCAGTGTCACAGGCCTGAAGGTGGAGATTGTGAAGGGAGGTTTTTTCTTCTCCCCTGTTGGGCTCACAAGCCCTGCACTGTGCTGTGCCCTCAGTTAGTACTGTGTCCCCTCAGCCCCTGAGGACAGAATGGGACAAGCTCCAGATGTTGTATTCCTTTAAGGCAGTCTAAGTGGAAAATTAAACGAACTAGAAATATAGGAGAAGCAATTTTGCAAACAAAATCTTATTAACAACTACTTACAATATTGCTAAACCATAACCTTGTAGATAACAGGGTCTGCTTGTTATTCTCCATTTGATTAGTGCTCACTGCAATGGTTTCCCAATGGAAGTCAAGATTTTATCCCTATTGACACAGAACATTTGCTGGGCTTATTGATAAGCCTTCCAAAGCCACTCATTGAAGGGTGCTTACAACTAACAAAGCATTATTATCTATAGAAGATCAAGGAGTGGATCCTCCTGGAAGAGATGTTAAGCACACATGAGGTGAAGAGGTGATCAGAGAGGCAGCACAGCTTCACCAAGAGCAGACTGTCCCTGACCCATCTGGTGGCCTTCTGTGATGGAGTGATGGCACTGGTGGACAAAGGAAGGACAACTGTTGTTGTCTGCCTGGACTTGTGTGAAGCCTTGGGCATGGTCCCCCACCACTTCCTGTCTCCACGTTGGAGAGATGTGAGTTCGAAGGCTGGACTTTTTGGTGGATAAAGAATTGGTTGGAAGGTCACAGCCTTGTAGTTAACGGCTTTATGTCCAGATGGAGGCAGTGATGAGACGAGACCCCCAGGGGTTGTTCATCTTGGGTCTGGTGCACTTCAACAGCTTTATCAGTATCAAGGACAGTGGGATCAACTGTACTTTAAGTGAGTTTGTTGATGGCACCAAGCTGAGTGGTGCAGTTGACACGAGAGAAAGGGGAGATGCCATCCAGAGGGATCTGGACAGGCTCGAAAAGGGGGCACCTCATGAGGTCTAACAAGGCCAAGTGCAGGATGTTGCACTTGGGCCACTCAATCCTACATTTGAGAACAGACTGGGAGAACACATTGAGAGCAGCCCTGCAGAGAAGGACTTGGGGGTCCTGGCGGGTGAAAAACTGGATATGAGCCAACAGTGTGCACTTGTAGCCTGGAATGCCAACAGCAGCCTGGGCTGCATCCACAGAGGGGTGGGAGTGGGGCAGGGAGGGGACTGTGCTCCTCTACTCTGCCCTTATGAAGCCCCACCTGCACTACCATGTCCAAGCCTATGGCCCCACACAGATAGATAAATAGATGTGTAGATAGAAAATAATGGGAGATATTGCTCCTTTTCTAAAAGATCCCCCTTCTGTACTCATTTTACAGGGGGCTTCTAAGCCTGTGGTGGCATTTTATGCATCACTGAACTTTTTAGTATATTCAGAATGCTTTGTTGCTTAAGAACCAACCAGTTGAAAAAAAGCCACAGTAAATCATTGGAAAGGTTCAGAAATACGTTTCTAGAGACAGAACAAGAAATATTGTTTTAGATTACAGGAACATAAATGCTTGTTATGATTGCCTTACTGTTTATGAAATGCCCTGAATTTCATAGAATCATAGAATCATAGAATCACCAAGGTTGGAAAAGACCTAAAAGATCACCCAGTCCAACCGTTCACCTATTCCCAATAGCTCCTACTAAACCATGTCCCTCAACACAACATCCAGTCTTCCTTGAACACCCCCAGGGTCGGTGACTCCACCACCTCCCTGGGCAGTCCGTTCCAGTGCCTGACCACCCTTTCTGAAAAGTAATACTTCCTAATGTCCAGCCTGAATCTCCCCTGCCGTAGCTTGAAGCCATTCCCCCTGGTCCTATCACTAATGACACGAGAGAAGAGGCCGACCCCCAGCTCACTACAACCTCCCTTCAGGAAGTTATAGAGAGCAATGAGGTCTCCCCTGAGCCTCCTCTTCTCCAGGCTGAACATTCCCAGCTTCTTCAGCCTCTCCTCATATGGCCTGTGTTCCAGACCCCTCACCAGCTTTGTTGCCCTCCTTTGAACACGTTCCAGGGCCTCAATATCTTTCTTGCAGTGAGGGGCCCAAAACTGGACACAGTACTCGAGGTGCGGCCTCACCAGTGCTGAATACAAGGGAACAATCACCTCTCTGCTCCTGCTTGCAACACTGTTTCTGATGCAAGCCAGGATGCCATTGGCCTTCTTGGCCACCTGGGCACACTGTCGGCTCATATTCAGCCGAGCATCAGTCAATACCCCCAGGTCCATTTCCTCTACGCAGTCCTCCAGCCACACCGCCCCAAGCCTGTAGCGTCGCCTGGGGTTGTTGTGGCCGAAGTGCAGGACCCAGCATTTGGCCTTGTTGAAACTCATCCCATTGGCTTCAGCCCAGCTCTCCAGCCTGTCCAGATCCCTCTGTAGGGCCTCGCTACCCCCAGGCAGATCCACACTTCCAGCCAATTTGGTGTCATCTGCAAACTTACTGAGGGTGCACTCGATGCCCTCATCGAGGTCATCAATAAAGATATTGAAGAGGACAGGCCCCAGCACCGACCCCTGGGGAACACCACTCACAACTGGTCGCCAGCTGGATTTGACTCCATTTACCACCACTCTCTGTGCCCGGCCCTCCAACCAGCTCCTTACCCAGCCAAGAGTGTATCCATCCAAGCCTCTGGATGCCAGCTTTCCCCACTTTGTCCTTGATTTCTACCTTCTGTCTTTGTTTTACCTGTAAGTAATCTTCAGCCTGTTGATTGAAACTTGCTTTGATTTGGATTCTGACTGTACCAAACTCCTCCTACCTTTTATTCCTTTAGCTCATGTCCCCCCATACCTTTATATTTGTTCCACCTAATCCTCCTACAAACACAGCATATGTACACAAGAATGTCTTTTAAAAATGTTTCTTCCATTTCAGCTGCTACTGCAATTTCTTACTAAGACAAGCTAACTCTTGTTTCTGAACAATAAAACAACATTTTCTGCTGCTAAAATTCCTTTCCTTCTACAGATTTCTGAGCAAATTGCCTTTAAGTATTGAAATCTTTTTAGATGATAGCTTAACTGCTGCCTGGTACTAAGCCCCAGCTTTCTATATTAAACAGTCATACCATAATGATACTTTTTCATGGAGATAATTGCTAATTATAATCCAATCATCATCTGATCTCTTTGAAAAAGTAAAAAAATAAGACTTAAGTTTTTGGCCAAAAAATCAGTTTTTCTATCTATAATTGTCTATTATTACGCTAGGTGTGATTATCATATAGTCCTTTTCTTTTAAAGAAATACTGTGTTTAAAGATGCCACTTGGATACAGGTCCTTCCTGAGACTGCTTTACCTTTCTGAGGAGGAAAAGAATTGCAAACTCTAAGACTTGTTAAGCTAGAATAGAAGGAAAGTAATAATAGTAATAATAATATATGTAAAAAGTAGAACTGTGGTGAAGAGGGGACAAAAACAATGTGTTAGGGATTTGAAAAGGGCTGCATTGCGTGCTTTAAACACTGGTGAATAGAATGACAACAATTGATAAAAGAATAACATTATTTATAACAAAAATAATGCGATTTACCTATTTGCACACTTGGACTATTTGAAAACCTTTAACAGTCCTACTGTGCAGTTCTGTTATAAAAACAACTTCAGCGTTCAGAATAAATCAGTACAGAAGAGGCTGTGTCTCCAAGACAAAGAAAGGCAAGTTACCCAAGAGGAATGCTCCTTCATCTGGTGCTGGTTGCTGTGAGGCCCGCTGGCATGGCCACGCCAAAAGCAGTTTTGGCAGAGCTGGTAGTTGTGGCACTGTTGGCACCGGTACCGGAAGCCCATCATGCTCTCACAGCGGCAATAGGAACACTCCACAGGATGGAAGACTTGGCGAAGACGCGGAGGGAAACAGAAAAAATGAAAATAAGCAAACCTTAAGAAAACTGCAATCATTACATTTCGTGAAAGCTTCCAAGAAAAACCAAACAAACCACAACCCAGGTTCTCGATCACTGAAAGAAATTATTACTGCATCCACGCCATGGCTTCTGAGCCCAGAAGAGATTGTTTTGGAAGAATAACGACATATCTGAGTTGATAACATATCAGCACCATCCAACAAGTTCAATATTTCTTCTCTAGCCTTTTCCCCCTTCAGATTTCCTCAGAACCAGAAAGCTCAATGCAAATCCAACAACAGAGAGAACATGAGTGGACAGGGAAAGCAATAGCGTCATATTCATACAATCATAGAATCATTAAAGCTGGAAAAAACAAAGGTCATCAAGTCCAACCCCAACCCATTCCCACCATGTTCCCAGATAGAATGATAGAATCATGAATATTGAAAAAGACCCCTAAAAAAGGTTCACAAAGGTTGACTTCTGCCTAAGCGACCTGAGCGAGCCAAGAGCTTCTCACTCAAATTCAGAGCACTGTATTCTGCTCTAAAGCCTCTTGCTAGACGACACTTCCCATAGACCAGGGGTTTCCCCAGCTAGACAGTGCAGAAATGCTACCCAAATTGAGGATGGGTTTGCCCAAGTTGTTGAAAACATCAAGGTAATAACTACAGGGAAGAGCACTTGAGCATTAACCTGGACAGCAATATCACAAGCCAAGACTCAGGTGGATGATGCTCTTACTGCTACACGGAAACACCACCTAAAGAAAATGATGTGTACAAGACAGTCAGCTTCAGTGATACAAATGCCCATTGGAAATGGAAGCTCCTGTAGAGGAACTGCTACCTTTTGAATATCTTTATTCAAAAGGCAGAGAAAGCAATGAAAAGCAAGTTCTACATTTATTTCAAATATAAGAAAAGAACTGGTTGGAAAAAAATAAAAAAAGATGACAAGCAACCTTAAGTTAACACAGCAACAATAACTTTCTACATCTTAGGAAATGGAGAACATGATCTCAGTGACTTCAGTAAATTCACATGAGAATCAGTAAGCATACTACAAGAAGACACAACAGGAAAAGTGAGTTCAGAGAACTGTCAGTTCCTTAAAGAAACAATGCTAAAGAAACAAGTATAAATATCTCTGGGCAGAGGAACGAGCAGACTGTTGTAAAAAAAGCAACTTGACTAAAATGATGAGCTCAATAACTTCAAATTCAAAAAGAAGCCTACAGAAGTAAAAACAGGAACAAATAATCAATGACAGCTGAAGGAATAATGTAGTATCCCAAGACAAAGACAGACATGAAAGAATGAGAGAAAGTTAGCAAGCGATTTAAAAGAGGTATCACAAAATTTGTGATTAGTTCTGATCCTCAAGAAAAGATGAAATTATACATATGTAACCACGGCCTTCTCATGTTATTTAAACTGGTAGAGTACTTGAACAAATACTAAAGGAGCTTAAGCACCTGAAGAACGTGAGCCATGAACAACATTCCCCAACTCAACTTTGTGTCTTTCCATGCCAGGCTAATTGCCCTTGAAACCAGAACGAGGGCATTAAATCTCACCAATTTCCCATGTTACTTCAGTAATTCTTCCAAAACTGGCAGGCCGTGATATTTGCCTAACAGAGGGAAATACCCAGTAGATGAAAGGACTGTAACTGTGATGTGAATTTCATTGGGAAAAGACCAGAAAATTATCAAAAGAAAATGATCAAACAAGCAGGGCTCCAAAAGGCTTTATTCCAGGTCAAGTATTGCTCACTGTTTTCATGAAAATATTGAAAAACTGACAAAATGCCCAACTTGGGGCATCACGTTTCAACAAACAAGATCTAGGAGGCAGCTTAGCTAAGAGGGGACTGTGAGAAGGCACCAAACACGCAAGAGGTACTTACAAAAATACCAATGCATTCTGCAGAGCCAGCGGCCAAAACCCAGGGACCTGAGGATTTAAACTGCAGTAAGAAAAATCCATGCTAGAATACTAGGAAAAACTTTCTCACCCTAAGAATATTTAACACTGATCTCAGCCCAGCTTCTCATCCACACCGACGCTGAAACCTTTGGACTGAACATTTTACGCAGCAGCAGGGCAGATCTCTTGAGAACTTTGAATGTATGCAAAGTTTGCCTTTGGAAAGGGAAATAGATGATGTCATGGGCTCCCACAGCTTTTTGGTATCCACCTCCAAGAACCCTTTGTCCATGGAGAGTTTCTGTCTCCTGCTGGGACCAGACATGGGGCCACTGCCTTAACATGGAGCTCTGAACCAAAGAATCAAAAACTTGAAGCCGATGCACTTGACTGAAGGAATGCAGTAGCAGCATTCTGATGAAATAAACACCAGACAAAATTACAGTGGTGACAGGGTTCTGAGCATACTGCATACATGATGAGGAAAAAGACTGAAACAGTCATTGTCAGAGATCGTGAGGTCTTCCTTACCTGGTTACCGCCAAGTGCTACAGCACAATCAGATGCAGATGCTTTTTTTCCAACTTTTGGGAATATGTCAATGTGCCAATAAAATATGGTGTTGAAGACTTTAGTTCTGTCCTGTTCAGACTGTCTTCCATGTTTCTGTCCATACGAATCCGTTCCAGGCTGAGGCTGCCACGAAGAGGTGCACTGATGATGTTTCTAACACCACTGACACTCCTGACTCCACATCGTGCTTGAACCACAAGGACCTCATTCCATCCCATTCTTCCTCTCCATTCTGCCTCTGAAACATTCACTGGTGTCATTGCTTATGCTTTATTTTCCCTGCCTCAGTGAAGAACAAGTTCTTGCTATTGATACTTCCTCTCAGGAGGTGTCCCTTTACTCAAAGTTTCCAGTCACGTATGGGAAGGGGGAGTTTTAAGCTTCTTACTACTTCTCACTGCTTCCAAGACTTCAGTCGTTCCCTTTCCTGGTTGTCAGTGCTCCAAATTCAAGATTCCTCCTGGGTCCTTTTTGACAGACAACCCGCTCCTTCCTTCCTCCACTGGACCTGATGGTCTCAGATGTCTTTTCCAACCTAAAGGATACTGTGATTCTTGCCAGCAGACCCTCTGAGACATCACAAAACTCACCTCACCCTCTCCCAGCTGTGTCCTCTTCTTCCAACCCTGCCAGCCTCCAAAATTCTTCTCCTCTAATTAATTCTCAGCAGCAGACCATTTTGGCCATCAGTGTATAAAACTGCCACGAGCAATCATCCAGTCAGTATTCAAATCTCTCTTTTCATTCACATTTCTTCTCTGATCTGGACATATTAAATTCTTCCAAGTGAAAATGAGATGTGACCATTCTCCTCCTCCTTTTCTTTCTTCCCCTGTCTCAAAGACATCTCTCATTTGCTCTCTTCTACAAAACTGCAATTTACTCAAAGATCTTGTGCCATCTTGTGATTTACCTGAGACGCCTCTATTTTTTCAGTGGTCTGCTTTTCTGACTCCCCAGTATATCAAAATATATGTAGGAGTGGTGCTGCAGTGGCACAGCTGCCCAGGGAGGTGGTGGGGAAACCAAACCTGCAGGTATTCCAGAACTGTGGGGATGTGGCACTGAGGATCACAGTCAGTGGATGCGGTGGGATGGGTTGGGCTTGGTTATTTTGGAAGTCTTTTCCAACCACAATGGTTGGAATATATTGGATTAGGTTTTCAGATTATAAGGACACGCTAATTTGTCCATATTTTCTTCTCTAACTCCTGGAGAACAGGACATAAATCCCTCTGCCTCATTACCAAGAAGCCATTCCTGACAAAATCCCTCATTACTGTTTCCCACCCAAATGGGAAATGTTATTCCATCATCAGTCTTTGAGCTGCAACCCCCAAATCCCTGCCTTGAAATCTCCATTAGCTGCCCTCCTTTGTGCATCCACCTTTTATCTTACGCTTTCACTGCTAATGCCAAAACCACTGCTCTGTGTGAACAATGTATTTCCCACTGGGACATATGATAAAGGCTTCCAAAATACAGTAGTAATATACACGTTAGATTACTTAAAATGAAATAATGAGGAAAAGTTTTAGAGTAATTGTGGATCTGCATTTCAGATATATTATTTCAAATTATATATTATTTCAAATTACTGTAAATGTAAAGATACATCAGACAGGTAAGATACATGCAGACTGGAGACTGGTCTGGAACTGAGAAGCATAGCAAAGTTGTCTACATAGAGATGACAGAGTATTTCCATGGGAAGGATACCAAGAACAAAACACAGACAGAAATAAGAAGGAGAAAAGAACAGAGCCTTTATAAAAGTGCGTAGGAGTAATCGACAAAGATGTGAAAAAAAAATAGCAGCTAAAGGAAAACGAAAATATGAGAACTTTAAAATACAAGAAAAGAAATCAAAGAGGAGATAATGAAAGTAGAAAGCTAAAGCAGGATGCAGATGAAGTAATATTTTTGTGTAAGAGTGTTGCAGGGAAGACCTGGAAAAACGCACTGTTCAAAAACTCTGGCTAAGACAGAATTAGTGTTGGAAGAGAAATGCTTTGAAGAACTTGCCATGACTATAAATACAAACCTTTATTTAAACATCTGTCTTTATACTACTCTTTTTCATCTGGTACTAATAGCTACATCTGTAAGCTGACATATTGCTACATGACTGTGCTTTGTCCTAGTGGACCCAGGCCAGGAATACTGATGTGCACATCCAGAACATCTAAATTCTAGTACTCCAAAGCAAAAGACTTACCAATGATGATGTTAGCTATGAGATAAAAATGTAATCATCTGCTTAATTAACCACAAAAATCCTACTGCTCTGAGCTCATGCAAAAGTAGCCCAAAAAACATGACCAGTGTATAACACGTATGTCAAGCTCCAGGTTCCAACTCCAGTGTTTTATTTTTCCATGGAAACTATTCTGATGAGCGGAAAGAGAAGACTTGAAGTCTTCCAGCAGATTAACATCCTCAGCTCAGCCCAATGGAGAGAGGTCTGCTCAAGCAGCAGTTCAACACAGGAACCCAAACGTTTCTGTCGATTAAACAAGGAACTTGACCTCCTGACTCAATTAAGTTGTGAATACACCCAAATTGGTTCTGCACTCCTCTGCTGGAACTCAGTTTTCCTGTAGAAAGAGCTACTAAGTATTAAAAACATAATTTCTGGCAATTATAATGAAGAATTCCCATGCTATATTAGATATATCAAATCAAAACAGAATCAAAGCATCCAAACAGAATGTGAATCACCTTCCAAGGTAAGTTCTGACAAGTTACCAGGCATGCACAGACGTATCCTGAGTAGTATGGATGGAAGAGGAGGGAAGACTTGTAAAGAGAAGACAAGGCACTGGCAAAATCTAGGGGCAGGAGAGAGGGCGTTGGTTGGTTGGGGTTCACTTGGTTGGTTTGTCTTCTTCCTCTCCTGAGTTTTATAGAACTCTACCAAAAACTAGCTGGGAAAAACCTGTGAAATTAAAGTCTGAGTGTGAGCTATGAGAGGAATGATAAAAGTTCTCAAGCTTTGCCAAACCCTTTAATAAAGCCTTCCCTTTGGATCTGCTTTCCACCTGACCCTGCAGATCAGATGGGCTCCTTGCACGGGATCAGCAGCTTCAGATGGACTGCGTCAGTCTGGCACGTGCCAAGCAGCAGGCTGTGAAGGATGGCCTTTGGCAGAAATCTGCATTGCACAGGAAAGCTTGGGGACCAGCAGGAGGAAAGACCGAAAAGTATTATAGAATTTTTATCCAGGAAAGAAGCGATGGGTTTAAAACCTCCTGGAATATTACTTCTTTCTGAAATGTGCTTCTGCATGTTCATCATTGGTACGTGTAAGTGACATTATGCCCCTCAGAGGAGGATCAGACCAAAATGAAAGCATGGAGTTGCCACTGGAACTCCTTTGCCTCCCTTAGGATATTTCTGAGGGGTTTTGTGGGACATCTGCAAGCTCATGGAAAGCTTTCTTAATGGAAATGAGAATTCCCAGGAGCCTGGGGAAGCACAGAGGCACGTCTGGCATATTTTCCCAGGAAATCACCTTCTTCTTTGCAAAACATGTGGAGAAAAAAAAAAAAAAGAAAAAAAAAAGGAGAATAAAAATGGCATAAGCACTGCAGTTTCCTGGATTTTCTAGTTTTTCATTGTTTTTATCTGTTTATTTCCAAAGGAAAGCTGAAAACGGATTCCACAGTCAGTTTCTATCCTTTCTTGTTTGGAATAGATTTACTACAGGCAAGGCTGCTCAGCAGTTGCTAAACATGAATTGGGTCATTTCAGAAAAAGCAAGTAGCAATTCTCAGTCCCTTTCAGAAATTACTGCAGTGGTTCTGAGCTTCTGGGAAAGCTAAATATTGATTTGCCAAGGCAGCCAAAACCAACCAAAGAATGACCTGACACTATGAAAAAATGCAATGGATTGTTCTTTAACTGGGAACTCCTAAACACAAACTGCACTGTCCCTACCCATTCATACATTTGTTTTTCTGAACCATTGTACATTCCTACCCTCAAGAGCAAATGAGCTGGCAAAGTATTTCTACCAATGATAATGAGTGCTTAAGACAGCACAAAGGCCAAATTCAGGAGTCGGATATTCTTTTCCTTTTTTCAGAGGATATTTTCCTTTTTACAGAGCAAAGAGAACACAGCCTGAAGACCCCTTCCATTTGCATTTCTCCAGGAACAAAACTAAAAGGACTGGAATGTCGACACAAAAGCAATGCAGTCAATCTGAACCAATGGCTCTCCAAATAAGGTGCTGGCCCATTTGTCCAGAGCAGTACTACCAACCAAAGACATTTGTCTGATGTGTTGAAAAAGAAGACAAGATTTAAAGGTAAGGAAAAAACTTGTTTCTCCAATAGAACAAACTTAGTTCACAGCCTAAGTGCCTTTTGCTGGAAAGAGAGCTGAAAAGACAGCCATAGAAATAGGAGGAATTTTTCTTCAGGTTGTCAGCTAAGGTGTTCAGATGCCTCTGCAGTAACTTTTCAATGACTGCCACAGTAATTAATGAAAATGCTGACAAAATGTGAAGGAGACAAGCATCTGCGTGGAAGGAAAGATGAGGTAACAGAAGCACTGACCAGGCACAATCCAGAGAAAACTGGCAAGAAACAACAGGCTGCAGAACAAGACTAGCACTGATCAGGTAACTTCAGGTGACACGACCAAGACGGCAGCAGGAAAGAGACAAAATTAAGGATGAAGCTTTAAGGACTGAGACCATTCTATCAGGAAAATATCATTTAACGTCTGGAGCCGAAAGATGAGAAGGCTGCTTCCTAAATGAACAGCTTCAGGGAATGATTCAATGGAATTTCCATTGTAAACACATATAGAACCACAGAATCATGGAGCAGCTGAGACTGGATGGAACTTCAGGACATCTGCTCAAGTCGGGCCAGCTGGAGCTTGCTGCTGCATCACGGCCAGTTTCAGTTCTGAGTGTCTCCAAGGATGGAGACTCCACAGCCTGGACAACCTCCAACCTGATGGCAAGGGGCACTGATCACCTCTCCCAACCCAACAACAGAAGGCACTGACCACCTCCTCCAACCTGATGGCACAGGGCATTGTTCAGGACGCCGCTGTTTCGGCTATCTAATAATTTCTTCTTGGTACTTTCAAGAAAAAAGCTCAGACTACTGGATTACCTCCAGGTCTTTCCACCATTTCCCTTGTAATTGGACCAGATGGTCTGTGAAAGTCCCTTCCAACTGAACTATTCCATTATGTTTCAACATTTACCCTTGCCTGAGCTCTGTAAAATTCTACCTTGACCTATAATGCATATTAACTTTTTACAGCTTGTTCCCTTACTGTATTTATTGCAGCCTGTGTGCTTTACTTGAAGTAAAAGCTTATAAAGATAAGAGGATAAAGGAAAAAGAGCAAACAGTAGCTACTGCCATTTCAACCTGTTACATAAGGGTGGGAAAGAGATTGGCAGTGCCAGAGTCTCCCTAACACTTCAACTAAATCAACCTTCTCAGCTCCTCAGGAAGTTTTCCCTTTTAGATCTGTTTCCATGACATTACTCCCCCTCAAAAAGTCTTTGATAAATCACTTTTTTTCTTTTCAATTGTACACACAATTGTCAGAAAACGTTTGTAAGCATACAGAGCAATTGGGAAATTAACCATCTCTTCTGCTGCAATAAACAAGAAAAAGCCCATTGAGCATTGCAGCTCTGCTCTTATTCAGTGCTGTACAAACGCAGATTACAAACACAACCAGATATGCTTTGCAAGAGGCTCAAGAAAAGACAATAAAACAAACACCACAAAAGAGCATATCAAAGTCACAGCAATACTGAACCACTTCACAGACATCAGGAAGCAGAGAATGGAATAAATCCTGGACACTTTGCTAGAGACACACAGACTGCTGGAGTTTTAAAGCTTTGCCTGGGCAAGGACAAGAGGGACTTCATCCATGTCCTAAAAGGAAGAAATCTACACCCTGAGATGCTTATAAGCACACTAAGCTGAAGAAGAGGTAACACCTGGTAGGGCAGAGATGTTGAAGAATGTTCAGAGGATTTTACTGTGTGGTGAAGGAAACAGAAGATGACATTCAGTTTTTCCATCTCTTATTGCTCCTTAAACAGATTCTGTTAGCGGTAATAACAGGAATTTTAGAAGAGGTCTGGAAGTGAGAGGAACTCAGCATTTGTAGTGAGTGAATGAAGTGACCAGATGGAGCTGCACTCGATGATCCTCATGGGCCACGACGTTCTGTGATTCTATGACTCGTGCTCAAACGCTGCTCAAGACATTTGAACTGTACCAACATCTTTGGAAGTTCACACTTGAAAGCATATGTTGAGGCATCATTCAAGTGAAGATTTGCTTTAAAAGTTTCAGAATAAATGTGAGCATTGAGAGAATGCCATTTTTCTCTTTTTTTTTTTTGTCTTTTGCTACTAACAATGCTAGAACCTTAACTTAAATACTAACAACCAATTGACGTTGTTGTTGGTTCCATCAATCATCCATTTTCCTCCTAGAAGTGCTGAACATGTGTCACTCCAACAGAATCCTAAAGCCTAAGTGCATTGGGGCCTGGACAGTTACAGTGGGAACGCATTCACTAAGAAAGGACAGCATATCAACATATTTGATCAGCATACAGCCCTGCTCACGGGGTTTTGAACAAAATATTCTATTTACCATTTTCAACATGGGCAAGTCTGTGCATGAGAGGCAGCCACACAAGGCACTGAGGAGGTGGATCAGCCATCAATGTGTCTAAAAACATGTTCAGCATGATCTTTTTCTGCAAAGGAAAAAGAAACACAGCTTAAGACAATTGTCCATTTCATTTCAAAATTTCAGTACCAAAAATAACTTCAGCTTTAACATTTCACTACTATTCAGCTTCTGTTTACCAATATAGGAAATGCTATAATGATAAAGCAGACATTTTGTTCAGGGAGCTTCAACCTACACTGAGCAAACAGCACCACCACAGAGAGGGTATCAGTACAGACACAGCATCGTCACACAAAAATTAAAGATTCACAGATGATTAGAAAATCCCAAGAAATGGAGGACAAGTCAGCCTGGATTAGCTGCTGGATTGTACTTCAAGAGGGATACAAAAAATGTGAGGAGGTTATTTAACAGTGTAGGAAAAGGTATTTCAAGCATACAGGCAGCACTAAAAAAAGCAGACGTAAAAAAAAAAAAGGTAATTACAACTAATATTCATACAGCATCCACACAGTAAATTACTTTAAAGAAATACAGAACAAGAGGCAAGGGGAGAACTGCACTAAGGTTTAGAAAATGTATTATCGCTGATAATGAAATTGAAATGAAATCGTTAGAAGGAAGTCATGCTTTAAGAGTAGTATTTTCTAAGGTTTCAAATTCAATTGAGCAAGAGAAAATTTCTGCTGCAAATACAAACAGATGGAGACAATTGGTAACAAAACCAGTTGAGAGTGGCTGTGGATATAACATGAGAATATACTGGCTTTTGCATGCAGGCAGCTGGAAGATTAGGAATGTCTCCTAAGCAGATGACCACTTTTTCCTCACCTTACCCTGTGGCAGTGCTACCTCAAAGAGCATCCAAAGGGCAGGGCAAGCAGAGCTGGAGGAAAAACCAGGCTGGGATTCTCACAGCCCTGCTCCACCAACCTGCCTCCTCCTTGCTGTGGAAGTGAAGAAACCCAGCACCTTTCAACAAATCCACATCTCAGTGCTTCTGAGAAGCACACTACCAGTGCTGAAGGAAGCCCTCTGATAGGAGATGTCCATCCCTGAAGGTGCTCAAGGCCGCGATGGATGACCCTGAACCGATTTCATGGTTCACAACCTTACCAATGGCAGGGGGTTGGAACTGGATGGGCTTTAAGATCTCTTCCCACCCAAAGCATTCTGTGATTCTATTCTATGAACTGTTCACAGCTTGCAGCGTCTGAAAACCCAATGCCCTGTTCACACAACAAGGAACGATAGAAAAAACGAGTCACAGAATCATCCAGGTTGGAAAAGACCCCTAAGATCACCTGGTCCAGCCCCAGCCCACCAACCACATCCCTCAGTGCCACATCCCCACAGTTCTGGAACACCTCCAGGTATGGTGACTCCACCACTTTCCCGGGGAACCTCAGTGCTCACAGTGTTGAATACCATCACTGCCCAATGTGCAAGCGGTGCATTAGACATCTTGTATGGGTAGAGGAGGTGCTCAGGTTAAATGGGGCCTTGGGCAACCTGACCTGATGAGTGCTAACCAGCCCATGGCAGGTGTTGAAACCAGATGGGCTTAAGGGTCCCTTCCAACCCAAGCCATTCTATGATTCGATGATTCCATGACTGTATAGCATTACACATGTACTCCTCTAAGGGTCCCGTTCCACCTGACTCCCATCTCTCACCCTGTTTCATACATGACAGCACATGAAACATTTTCTGGCTGTAATTCTTTGCCAGAGCTGAACAAGGGCATGCAGCACCTGGGCCATGCCAAGACAGCCATGGTGGCACTTTGGTTTTGATACATTGCTTCCAATACGGAAAACAGTAGAATCTTCATAGAATGGTTGGGGCAGAAGGGTCTTTAAAGATCACAGAACCATAGAATGGTTGGGTTGAAAAAATCACAGAGACATAGAATGATAGGATGGCTTGGGTTGGAAGGGACTTGAAAGTCCCCCCAGCACCAACCCCTGCCATGGGATGGTTGCCAGCCACCAGATCAGGCTGCCCAGGGCCTCATCCAGCCTGGCCTTGAGCAAATCCAGAGATAAGACATCCAGAATGCATGTCAACGTTCTGGGTCACTGCAACCCAACTAAGCTGAAAAATAAGTTTGGGAGTTATCACAACGGCAGGAAAACACAACAGAATAGTTTAACTTGGAAGGGACCTGCTGTCCTACATGTCCTACTGTCATGTTATTTTGGGGCTGACTCCAAATTCAAAAATCACTAGGAGTGTTATCCAGGTGCCTTTAGTAAGACCTGTAGGTCTCACATTGGTACCACACAGCTGAATGCCATATGAACTTGCAACAAGAGACTTCATTGTGGCCATAAGGGTTGTGAGGAGGAGGGAAAGCCAGACAGAGCTGAGTACCAAGGCAGTTACAAGGTAAGAAGTATGTTACTTTTTGTTGAAGTCAGAAACCTCGTATCTCACAGGAGCTGTGGGTTCTTCCTCCTGTGGTTGCTCCGAGTCATAAATAAATGGGTTCTGGTGACAAAGATCTCTGTGTACAATACGCACAACTCACATTAGAATCAAAATGTAACAGGACAGCTTTTCTGTTGGAAATTTTTCCCTCAAGCCCTCAAATTAAACATTCCAGCCCCTGTTGGAGCAGCGACTTCTCTGCAGTTCACCGGAGGGCAGCAAGGGCTCAGGCTCTGGATTTTTGCACTGATACAGGTGGGAAATGCTGCAAGCACCAACTTAACAAAAGCACACAGTTTTGATGCCACTGCAAGCATTCCTGGCAATGCAGCAAGCAGCAGCCTGCTGCTCCTGAAGCTAGAATGCGGGGAAGGAGACCCAAAAGTGGCTTTTTTGGAGCTGGGCTCAGAGCCTTACCATGAAGCAAACACAAAAGCCTCACTCACCCAGCATTTGTGATGCAACACAATCAGATCACCTGTCAGTAGGGACCCAACCCAAAGAACACAAACTGAAAGTTCAAATTTTCACAGCACAGCCAGTCAGGAGGGTCAAACACCTCCCAGCATTTGCTACCTTGGTGTTTTCTGAAATGGGTAATACAGTATCCTTATGAGAAACACAGGCGTCACAGCCAGGTGAACAGAAGCTTGAAGGAAAGTATGACATGATCTCCTATCTGTGACAGCACCCATTTGGCCTTGACTAGTAAATCATGGCTGGAAGCTCTATATGAATTTGGAAACCATTGTAAAGAATGCAGCTCTTGCTGAAGTGTCCCAATAAAATCTATTCCCTGTGGACAGCAAGACTGAATTACTCCATCTGTGACCCTGTGGGGTTTAAGTAACACAGGGCAGTGCTTCTGGCCCTAAGCTCAATAATGCATGGATTTACATTATTGTAACTGTGCCCACTGTAACCATTCAGTCTCCCAAATGATTTCAGCATCCAGATAAACTGTTAACATCAGCTACGAATCACTTTCAATAAACAGTTCCCATGTAATCACCCTGCCTGAGGAAGGTTGCAGAAGATAACGTGAAGATGCACTCCAACAGCTCCATGTCTCTCCTGTACTGAGGACTCCACACCTGGATGCAGTGCTGCAGGTGAGGCCTCACAGCACAGAGCAGAGGGGCAGCATCCTGTCCCTTGGGTTTGTCAGCTGCACCCCACAGCTTGGTGTCATCCATAAACTGCTGAGGATGCACAAAATCCCACTGTTGATGTCATTGATGAGGACATCAAAGAGCACCAGTCCCAGTACTGACCCCCGAGGGGCACCACTCATCACTCATCTCTATCTGGATGTGGAGCCATTGACCACTGCTCTCTGGGAACGATCTCACAGCCAGTTCCTCATCCGTTGAACAGTCTACCCATCAAATTCATATCTTTCCCTTTTGGATAGCAGGATTTTGTGGGGACTGTGCCAGTGCCCTCACTGAAGTCCAGATAGACAACGTCAGTGGCTCTTCCCTTGTCCACTGATACAGTTATGTCATCATAAAAGGACACTAGGTTGGTTGGGTAGCAACCATGACAAATGTCAGGCAAGTCTCGCATCTCTCTTTGCAGACAGAGCATTTACAGCTTAGAATCTGATGTATGACTTGGTAACTCTCAAATGAGTCCATGGTTTGCCCCTTAAATGCAGTATCCCTACACGCAGGAGTGGCTTGCACAGCCTGAGAAAAAGGGTGGTATGTTGAGAATGAGGGATTATCCATAAATGCCTCAGCAATTACCGACAGAAACATCAGCTGTGAGACAATTCTCTGTCCTCAGCAACTTACAGGTGAGCAGGAGTTCTTGTCGTTTCCTTTCCTTTTGTGTTCTATTTCAAATATATGATCTCCTGATCAACATAAATTCAGCAAAAAGTGACTACAAATTCTAAATCTGAACACTTTGAGAAATGTTTAGAATATAGTCACAATCAGAGACGAAACATTTAAGTTTAGGTCTAGCTTTATCTAGGCTTATGCCTATAGTAGAATTAAGGCTTAATTATGCTATTGTACATCTCAAATTAAAAGCAATTTCTCAGAACAATCAAATCATAACAGAAACATTGATACTGCAGAAGCTGCTGCAATATCTATTCCAAAAATTACACAAAATGCATTTATTGTGTGCAGACTAAGCCAACTAACAACTGATTTGTTCAAAATAATACTCTTACTTACTACTACTCTTACTCTTACTGAATTAAACTCTTACTTGCTGTGGGAAGCACGTCCGTACAGAATGCTCTGTGTATCCAAAAGAAGGTCCCTCAAACACAGCAGTTGGAAGTTTTAGGACTTCTTTCAAAAACTGATCAAACTTGGAAAATATCATCAGTCCATTTGAATCTGATATTTGAGAGAAAATATCTGTAAGAAAATACAATAAAACATTTGGGTAAATACACGCTTGCTACAGAAAAGAAAAGCCTAATAATTTCAGTTCATTTAAGCTCCAAAGCACTACTCCTGTTGTTTAATTCTAAACACAATTTCTTTTTAGTTGATATCAAGATAGAATTTACGAATTACGTTTCAATGTGCTGTGACACAAACCCCTCTATCCCATATCAAAAAGCAATGAGAATAAAGACATCGAGGCACTGAGGGACATGGGTAGGGGGCAGGATGGGATGGGTTGGTGGCTGGACGTGGTGATCATAGCTGTCTGTTCCAACCTTAATTCTATGATTTCTTAGCCTCTCCAGCCCCTCTGCCCACCCATCCCACGCTGCTAACCCAGAGCTCTGTGTCTCAGCAAAAGTAAAAATATAGGAAAAGATGGACAGAGAGGGTTGGAAGAAAATGATGTCATGGGAGGTGCTATGACTGCTGCACCCAGATACAGCAGAACTGTCCGGGGGGCAAAATCTCTCTGGAAAATACACATTCTTGAACAGTAAAGCTTGGTCTCTGCTATGACTGCAGTCAGGTTACACTATAAAGAAAGACTTCTCTAATATTAGTAAGACCTAAAATGTTTGAAGACAAGACAGATACCAGAATGCTTCACTAAGCAGCCTCTGAATCATCTATGAGGCTACCTAAGACACCGTAAGTAACTAAACATCAAAAAGGATGCGCTGACAGAAAGTAAGCTCAGTTTAATGAGCTCATGAAGAAGTCTACAGTGCTTGAGCTGAGGACTGGATACTAGGAAAAGTCTTCTCTCTGAAGAGTGGCCAAGTATTGGGATAGGCTGCCCTGGGAAGTGATGGAATCACCATCCCTGGAGATGTGATTTGGAGATGTGGCACTGAGGGAGGTGGTCAGCAGGCATGTGGGATGGGTTGGGGTTGGGCTTGGGGATCTTGGAGGTCTGCCTGGGGTTTGTATCAGGCAAAATGTACAGGCTTGATGGGAAGGTCTGAAGTCCTTGCTAAACAGTCTTACAAGGCATATAAGAAATAAGGACTGGAAAAAGAAGAAGAAAAAAAAAAGAAACAAGAAAGGGAGAAGCTAAGTGATGAAAGAATGCTATATTTTAAAGAACTCATCCAAGCAGAAAAATCAAATTTCAGTGGAAAATTTAACATGGAAGAGAAGTGATGGAAATAACTGGAACTAATTAGAGAGCAAAACCTTCACAATCCTAAAATGCTGAATATCAGATTCGCCCCAGAACCGGCACATGAACTTGGTCCAATAATCAGTCTATTAAGGAGGGACTGGTAGAACATGATTGCATCACGACAGTACTTGTATTTAAAAAAAGTACAAGAATCATTTGGGTAAATACAATCTATTAATCTAATTTCATCAGCATGCAGGATTTAAACGATTTTAAGGAGAAGGTAATTAAAGCTATGAAAGAAATGAAAAATGAGATAAAAATGAACAAGCTAGATCAAGAATAAATTAAAAGAAACCCAAGTGGTTTTGTAGTCAAAATGAAGTTGAAGTCATCTACGTGGGGAAACTTTCACAGGGGAAATTAGAGGTTGAAATTGGAAAAGATAAAGATTCATAGGATTTAATTAAATAGTCATCTTCCCTTCCAAAGGGCACTAAGTTACCTGAAAAGAGAAAACCTCAAGCTAAACAGGAGCTAACAGTGTAATTTCTCAAGATCCCACCTTAAGGTCACATCACGTATGTGCTAATTAAGTTTCCCTATGATAAGGTATTATACTTTAATTCTCATCTAAGATTCAGTTCAGTGCAACCAGACTATAAACATGTTTCTGTGCCTTTTTTTTTTTACTAGAGAAAATAAAAAATGAACACAAAAAAAAAACTGCTCAAACCCAAACATACCAATGTAAAATGGAGTAGAACTTGATGAGCACTGTGAACAAAGCTCCTATCATATCACAGAATCACAGAATGGCCTGGGTTGCAAAGGCCCACAGTGCTCATCCAGTCCCAACCCCCTGCTGTGTGCAGGTCACCAACCAGCAGCCCAGGCTGCCCAGAGCCACATCCAGCCTGGCCTTGAATGCCTGCAGGGATGGGGCATCCACAGCCTCCTTGGGCAACCTGTTCCACTGCCTCACCACCCTCTGGGGGAAAAACTTCCTCCTAAGATCCAACCTAAACCTCCCCTGTCTCAGTTTAAAACCATTCCCCCTTGTCCCATCACCATCCACCCTCACAAACAGCCGTTCCCCCTCCTGTTTCTACGCTCCCTTCAAGTGCTGGAAGGCCACCATGAGGTCTCCCTGGAGCCTTCTCTTCTCCAAGCTAAACAAGCCCAGTTCCCTCAGCTTTTCCTCACAGGAGAGCTGCTCCAGCCCTCTGATCATCAAATAAAACTTTCCAGTATTTCCATTGAGAGCCTTCATTCAACTGATTGTATCTTTGCCAGAATCCTGCATTAGCCTGCATTTTCTACTGGGCACCTGCCTGATGCTTTACAGTTCCAGCTGAAGACCCAACCACTTCCCTGCATGAGTTAAAAACAAAGGAAAAAAACCAAACAGACCAAAACCCCTGGCACCCTCCTTTTTTAAGGAGTGGATTGGGAGACTTTCCTGTGCCTCGATTCCCTCAAAGTTGACAAATTTAATTGTACAAATTTGAATAACATTTCTTAAAAACTAATGAATACTAGTTTAAAAGCCAAGAAAATAAATCCGTAACAGACACAAATTAATTTTTGCTTCTTAGGGGATTTTCCCTGGTCTTAATCTAAAATACATAATCAAGCAAAAAGAGCAAACCTAGGAAATACAAGCCAGTCAGCCCCAGTTTGGATCCTGGGAAAATAATGGAGAAAATTCTTTTGGAGCACATTTCTGAGCACCCAAATTTGACTGGAGCAGTTGGTAGGGATCTGCTAAGGAGAAATCCCATCTGACCAGCACAGCTTGCTCTTCTAGCATTCAAAGTGGGACGTCACAGTCTGAAGGGGTGAAAAAACAGGTGGGGAAGGAGCAAGTTGGATGATTGGTCTTAGAGGACAGTAGGTAATGGGTCACGCTGCATGGGGGCCAAGAACAAGGGGACTGGTATAAACAAGAAGGGGACTGGTGCTGGGCTCTGTCCTGCTCAACATCTCCGCTAGTGAAGAGCAGGGTACACTGTCCTCAGGTTTGCAGGTACAAAGCTGGAGAGCTCCAGGTGCCCAAGTGGCCATAAAGACTAAGGGCATCCTGGCTTGTGTCAGAAATAATGCAGTCAGCAGCACAGGGAGCTGACTGTCCCTCTGTACTCAGCTCTGGTGAGACCACTCCTCAAGTACTGTGCTCAGTTTTGGGCTCCTTGCTATGAGAATGACAGTGAGGCACTGGAACACATCCACAGAAAGGCAAGTGAAGCTGTGAAGGGTCTGGAACACAAGAGTCATGAGGAGTGGCTGAGGGAGCTGGGATGGGTCAGCCTGGAGCAGAGGAGGCTCAGGGGAGACCTCACTGCTCTCTGTAGCTCCTGACAGGAGGTTGTGGTGAGGTGGGAGTTGGCCTCTGCTCCCCGATAACAGTGATGGGATGAGAGGTGATGGCCTCAAGTTGCAGCAGGGGAAGTTCAGTTGGGATATTAGAAAAAAATCATTCTCTGAAAGAAAGGTCAAGCTTTGGAACAGGCTGCCCAGGCAGGTGGTGGAGTCACCATCTCCAGAAGCATTCAAGAATCACAGAGATGTGGCACTGAGGGACATGGTCATGGAGTGTGCTGGAGGTGGGTTAGGGATGGACTTGGTGATTTTAGAGGCCTTTTCCAACCTTATTGATTCCATGAAATTCTACGATAGCCCCACAAGCAAGGGCTGCCATCCAGTGAGACCCAGGCAAGCTGAAGGAATGGGTCAAAAGGAACTGTATGAAACAAAAAAAGGACAAATGCACATTCCAAAATGCATGTGATGCTGGCTGGGGACTGGCTGGCTGGCACAGATCTGCAGGAAATGTCCTTGGGAAATTTGGGGTCCCAAGTTGAAGATGAGCCAGCAGCATGGCACAGCAGCAAGGAAGGTCAACAGCATCTTGAGCTGCATGAGCAGGAACTCACCCTCTATTGAGGGGAGTGATTCTTTTCCACCCCTCAAAACTTGTTACACCTCCTCCAGGCATTGTGTCCAGCTTTGAGACCAACAGAATCACAGAATATCTGAGAACCACAGAAGGTGAAGGACATACTGAAGTGTAGAGGGCTACAAGGATGCCCAGCAGGTTGGAGCACTTATCCTGTGAGGACAGGCTGAGGAAACAGCACTTGTTCACTTTGAAAAAGACTGAAATATTGGGAAGACATAATAACAGTATCCCAAAACCTACAAGGAGGCTGTGAAGGACACAGAGGAAGGTGCTTTTTGAGGAAGATGTAGTGATTTGCATTTGAGAACTTGGCATTGGAGAGGCCATAAGTCTGGCTGGTGCAGACTGTGCACCAGAGAATGTAAGAGAACAGACACAGGATAGACTATGGCCATTCACTGCAGGCATCCATATGGCACAGGTATATCCACTAACAGGCCTTCATCATGGTCATCCAGAGAAGGGAACAAACCCAGGTCACAGTGCTGTCCGTGTGGGTGCTCTCTGGTCCTCCTGTTCCATGGGTCCATTTTGATCCTACTGGGATACAGGCCCTTAAAATGAGCAAGGTTGGAATTTGTTTGAAGTCAGGTTCTGTTTGCAATTTACTCGCAGAAAGGACATGGAAGGAAACACTAATTACTTCACTATGGATCTGCTTGAATGCCAAAATGAGGTCACTCAAATCCACAGACTTCATCATATTTATATGGTATTTCTCTAGCTTAAAAAATGTGATGCTAAAAGCTAAGCCCATAGCAACAGGCTGAGCTTATAACTCCTTCCTTGCACTTCATGTAAAGCAACTCCTTCACAAGGAGTGTCAGCCACTGGAAATAATCTTTCCCACTGAAAGCAAAGTGGCATCATTGAACAACTCCATTCATATGTACTGTCAGATACTGTGCAGTCTAGAAAAAAAAAAAAACAAAAAGAAAGAAAGAAAGCAAGCCTGCAAGTATCTGCAAGTACAGAGACCAAGTGACTGTAACTCAAATTCTGAGATGAGAAAAAGAAATATTTACAGCTTCCTGGATTTCCACAAAGCCTCACGGTCCAGCTGAGCTGGCAGCCTGCTCACTTAGTGCCTTCAGTCCTCGTCTCGGAGGGGGAACGGAGCAGCTGTTTTCTATTCAGCACAAACACGCTGTTCATGATTTTACACAACGCTGTCCCTTCACCACCATTTTGCTTTCCATCCAGGTTGAAGATTCCTGCTCTACATCTAGTTGTTCCTTGTACAGAAAGTTTGTTCTGACTTTGGTGACTGCTGTTCTTCTCAGGAAGATAAAGCAGATCTGAAAAGGCAGAGTGAGTGCAAGGTACCACAGCAGCGCTCATACTAAGCACAAACATTCCATGGACTTATGCAATGCCTTAGTCTTCCTGTTTTGTTCTTTATGTCCTTCCCTCTTGGTCACAACACTTCACTACTTTAACTACTACTAGATAGAGCATCAATCTTCCAGGAGAAACTCCAAGATCTGTCTTAGCACTAACAACTTCCTGAGCTCACCTTTCTGTGCCTGACATTAGGATGACACCTCACTCCTCCAGCACACACCACTGCACATAAATTCACACTGAATTTCAGCTACCATTTCATTCACAGTTACTCAGCACTGCCAGATGATGCTACAACTCTTCACAGTCTATTTTGGCTTTTACTACACCAATCTACTTTATAAAAGACTGCCATCTTCCATTCTATTTTTCCAGATCATTTATGACACGTTAAAAACAGCTCAAGTCCAGCATTATTCATCCACCTTTTTACTGCTCTTTTTTGGGCTCCCTTCAGCTAATGTCTTACACATAGAAAAGATCTTCCCTTCATCCCTTTCAGACTTTAATGTTTTTATCTGTTTGATAAGATACTTGAAGCCCTCTTAGAAACTCAAGAATTCTGTGTTGGTCAGAAATCCTTTGCATTTTTCTACTTTTTTTGCCCTACTTTAAGGAACTCCTACAGTTTTGTAAGACATTGCTTCCAAAAGCCATTCCTCCTCCCTGCCCAAGAAATTATTTACCCATTAATCAACTAATTCTATTCTTCATTACTACCAGTTTGCCCTGAAGTGCATCAGGCCTACAGGTGAAAGGTGCTTACAGTGAAAGCAGGGTTGGTCTTCTCACTGGTGACAGATGACTGGACGAGGGGAAATGGCCTCAAGTTGTGCTGGAAGGTTTAGGCTGGATATCAGGAAACACTTCTTTACAGAAAGGGCTGTTAAGCACTGCAATAGGCTGCCCAGGGAGGTGGTTGAGTCACATCCCTGGATGTGTTTCGGGTCATGATTTAGCAGAGGGTTGTTAGTTAGGGTAGTATGGTTAGGTTGCAATTGGACTTGATGATCTTTAAGGTCTTTCGCAACAAGAAAGAAGAGAGAGAGACAGAGACAGAGACAGAGTTCTCCATATGGCCCTTTCTAAACTTCAGTACATTTTCTTTTACCTCCTCCCTTGGTCCTCAGAAGTTTTTCACAAAAGTAACCAACAGTAATTCAGCTACACTATGATTTGCATTCTAGCTCTACTCATCTTTTTCCAGTAGCAGTAATACTTCCTTTCTCCTTCCATAAGAAACTTTACAAGATCATGCTATCCTGCATCACACCCTTCTGAGTTTCTCTCGTCTTCCACAAAAAAAGTTGACCCATTATCATGTCTGAAAAGCCAACGGCCTGATTTTAAAATCACAGCATCACTAAGGTAGAAAAAAATTACTAAGATCACCTAGTCCAACCACCAACCCATTAGTCCACCAATCAACCCATTAGAGAACTGCCTGGTTGAAACGAAAACTATTCCTTCCCGCGCAGGTTTGCTCTGCTCCTCTTTCTGAATTCCTGGATAAAAGAAATTCATTTCTCACAGTTGGCTGATAGCATTTTACAGAGATTTCAAATGGTCAACAGTTAGTACTGCCATCACCATCAAAAGCAGCCAAAATCATGGTGGAAACAGCTTTAGTGATATACCAAGAAGGATAAGGAAAGAAACTGAGTTTAAAGCTGAATTTAAAAAGGCAGAAATGCTGCTTCCCAGAACACATGTCAAATGTCACATGCTCTCTGGAAAACAAAGCTCCATATCCAACCATGGAATTATCCAACCGTGTTTGCTCAAACCACTGGAACAGGTTGCCCAAGGAGGCTGTGGATGCCCCATCCCTGCAGGCATTCAAGGCCAGGCTGGATGTGGCTCTGGGCAGCCTGGGCTGCTGGTTGGTGACCTGCACACAGCAGGGGGTTGGAACTGGATGAGCACTGTGGGCCTTTGCAACACAGGCCAGTCTATGATTCTGTGCAGATAGTGCATAGAGAAAACAGGGAGTGCAGATACTGGAGGACAGATTCCAGCAGTACAATACAAATTGGAAGGCAGCTGATAAAGTGCAAGAAAGAAGGAAAGACACGACAACCAGAATATAAAAAAGCAGCATTCAGTGAGAGTAGTCAAAAACCCTTCCTACAACCTCAGCTGAACCTCAGTTAAGAATTTTCATAAAGAAAATTACCATATTAAAGGAAATAGGACTCAACATGATTAGCAAAAAGAAAAAGAAAGTTCTGTATGCTAGGAAAAAAGCTGGGGTGGAGAAGAGAACATGAAATGCACAACTAGCAAGTTTTAAGACACATTTGTGAAGCAGGACGATTAAATAAGGTGTCTTTCAGGTGAAGACATCTTAATCAGCCACTTCTGACTCAGCACTTGGTAGCCTAGCATAACCTCCAGGATGGTGTCTGGGCTTTGTTTGAAAGCATCAATTCCTTTACCATCTAATTCCATGGTTAACTGCCCTTTTAAAAGGTCACTTTTTACCATTTGCTTGACATGTTTCGGTGTGGTCCTACTTATGCACAAAAATAGATCCCCTTTTCTGTACCAGGTTTATACCAAACTGTTTATCTATTGTAACCTCTTAAAACCCTGAGGTAATGGGATCCAAGTTTGTGTAGTTTAATAGATCACACTGGCATTTTGTATCATTTTGAAAGAAAATACGTTTTAGAAGTTTAATGCTGTGGAAAAGTGAAAAGAATTATTTGGGGTGAATAATAATCACAGAGGTCAGAAGGAATTAATTATCACCAAATAACTTTCATAAAGGGAATTTAGGGGGGAGACGAAAACCAATGACATCAGAACAGCAAAATCTGGCACTAGCAGTAAGACCTGCTCCCAATCTTTTCAGGCCAGAAAAGGAAAGAAAATCCCATAAACCACACTATGGCTTGCCACTGAGAAGGATGGAAGAATTACATGTAAGTGCCAAAGATTTTAAAATAAACACATGGACTCAGAAAAGCTGTTCATAACACACTCGGTACGTTTGTTGTGTGACCAGCAGATGGCATGTGTTACAAAAAAACCATGAATGTGACAACGCTGCCCATTCACCACACCAACAAAATTAAAAAAAAGGACAAAAACTGTTGTGATTTTGATTGGAAATACTTACATCTTAGTTTGTCCAGTATTTTGCCACCACACATTGTTGCTAACATTGCTTTCACTGAAAACACCGTCAGCTTCCCATGGCCCTCGCTGTGGAAAAAAGTACATGGTGAGTAATTGCTGTAGAGTGAGAAGGAACACAAACACTGAGGTTGTAGATAGGGAATACATAACTGTTAACAACTCAGATCGAGCACAGCTACTTGCTGTAACATTATACCAGTGCTAATATCCTGAATATACCACACAGAACAGGAATAACATGAGCAGTCTTTTATTACAGTTTAAACTGACGGCATGTATGGAGAATTGTTGTCTAACATCAGCAAGAGAAAATGAACCTGCCCACGTGGAAAGCACGAGAAAGCACACTGAGCACACAGTGGTATGCAGAAACAGCAAGGTGTGTTACCCCTGTTACCAGAAGAGGATGAAATTAGGTGGAAGCAAGTCACCAGGCCAAGACAGGCTGAGTGAAACACACTGCAGTAAATACTGGCAACAGATTCCAGTTGCACCAGCCTGGTCAAAGGCACACACTGTGCCTCCCTGATTCCCAATTTCTGGATGAGCTTCCATAGCAATAAAGATAGAATACAGAGAACCTTCACTTTGCCATACTGGAGGACCAGTACTTGGAAAATGCTAGGAAGGAGTAAAACCACTGAAAGTAATTCTGCCTCGCGGCACCAAAATAGTGACAAAATTTTTATTTTAAGCTGTATAAAGGCTATAAAGTTAACAAAACAGTAAAGATAGCAGTTATCCTACTTCATTTCTGTCTTTTAGTTTCCTCAAAGGAAAAAGTTGGCACTCCTGCTATGCCAAACCACCAAACCACAGAAATAACAACACCCAAAACCCTACAAGAAAGACTTTACTGCATCTGAAATCTGAAGTCTGAAAAGATCCATTCTCTTCAAACCTTGGTCTCTGCTTGTCTCAGCAAATCTCAATAACCATTTCAAGCTTCTTTAAAGCAGAGTCTCAACCTTTCTTTCCATTTGCTCTCTTACAGCCATTCTTCTCTCGGCTCTGAATTATTTTTTAATTAATTGAAAGAAAGAACAAGTGACTGGAACCATCCATGTCTCCTCACATGGTACAATCTCATCCTTGAAAGATATCTCACGGTGCCTTCAGATATAGGTCTGCTTCTGCTGACATTCTGTTTATTAATCAAGAAAATAAAATTAAAAAATCCTCCCCCTGCAATCTGGTACAGAGGTGTAGTTAAGCAAATTGCCAACATCTACATTGATTTTTGGTCCCACGTGACTCCATCTGCTGAATTCCCTACCAAAAGGAAAAAGAACAGAACTTTCGGTACGATTTTGAAACTTCTGTAACACTCATGAGTTTGAAGGATAGGAATAAGTCTGTGGGACTTGTTTAAAACAGATGGAGCCTGCGGACAGAGAAGGACCTGGATGTGCTGATGGCCAATAAGGTGATCATGAGCCAGCAGCGCGCCCTTGTGGCCACAAAGGCCAGCGGTGTTCTGGTTGACCAACAGTAGGCCAACAGTTGACCAAAAGTTGACCAGGAGCCAGATGCATGCCCCAATGGCCAAGAAGACCAATGGGGCTCTGGGGTGCATTGCACAGAGTGTGACCAGCAGGGCAAAGGCAGTACTACTCAAGGAGTGCTCAAGGAGTGCTTGGACACTGCTCTCAGCCATAGGGTTTGGGTGATCCTGTGCAGAGCCAGGAGTTGGACTCTATGATCGTTGGGGGTCCATTCAAACACGGGCTATTCTATGATTTCAGACCTGCAACTCCTCCTTCTTATTCCCCATTCTGTATGCAATATAAGGTGGTTAGTTCACAAAGACACTCAGTTATAGAACCATAGAATGGCTTGGGTTGGAAGAGACCTCAAGGATCATCAAGCTCCAAACCGCCCTGCCACAGACAGGGCTGCCAGCCTCCACGTTTAATACCAGACCAGGTCATATCAATTTCCCAAAAAAGCCATCACAGCTTTCCTCATAGTGCTGCTCTGTGGGCACTTCCCAATACTCCGAGAGCTCCTTCCAGCTTTGCCAACTATAGGGTCTTTCCTGATCACGCTGCTTGCCAGCTCATCTCCTCACATGACTGCTGGTCATCCTCTCCCTCCTCCTTACTGCGTGCTGCTATTACAATATGAAAACAAACAAGGAAGTTGAAGCAACTAAACCTGTTGCTAAATCAAATGCATTTCTAGAAAAGGTGAAATCAGAAAGAATGGACCATCGCTGTGTGGTACCAATCGGGGGTCAGGGATTTCAGAAAGCTGGAGAAGGCTACCAAGAAAAACAGGCTCTGGAATGAGCCACCACCACTGCCAAACACCCACAGGCAGAGCTTCATGGGAGAGAGCAGCAAAGAATATCATAACACAGCTACTCCTCCTCCCAACTCACTACTGTACACTGACTGTACACTGTATGAACCACCAGTTGTGCACCACAACCAGTGCTGTTCTACAAGTCTCAGGGATGAGCTGACTGTGAGCCTAGCTCTCCTCTCATTCTTGGCTTTCCCGTGGCACAACACAGTGCAGCATCACAGCTTCTCTCTCAACACCATGTGACAGATAGAGGAAGCTCAACAGAAACTGCTGTGTTGTGCTGGGAGCAAGCAGGCTGCTTTGCTGCAGACAAGAGGTGGAATTTGCAGGTTTAGGGCAGAGGGAGACAAACATCTCTAACTAAAGCCTCAAACTTTTGAGCCAGACCTCCAGAACATAACCACTTCTATTTTAAATTCTACATTTTCTAGTGTGACCTGACTCAGAATAAGGAAACTCATCGGTTACCCTTTACAACAACTCTCACAATCAATATCATATCACACTAAACAGAAAAATATAAAGGTTTGATTCTGATGTCATAGCAGTATTGCTACTATGAGCTCTGCACTGTTTTTAACTGTCCTGAGTGAGACTGGGATTGTTCTGGACCTTTGGGGAGGATAATTCTGGCTGCTCTTTGGTGACCTTAAGAAGAGGAATTAAGAATGATTAAAACTTGGACATTACAGGCACAACAACTATTTGGCATAGTGGTCCCGGTTGCTGTAGGTAAAACTCCTTCATCTCTGTGTCAACATCCTGGCCACAGGCAGTTTTCTGCTGCTCAGATAGAAGGCAAAAGCAGAAGAAACAAAACAGATAACAACTGACTGTGAGAAAGATAAGAAAAAAGAACTCATTAACAACAGAGAAAGATTTCCATTTACTACTCAGAGAACCCAGAGGTAACTTTACTTGAGATCAGCAGATTAACCCCTGATGAAAGAGGCTGTGAGGGAAACTTACAAAAGCTGGACCCAAGGGAGTGCCTGGCAGTACTCTGAACAGGAAAACAAACTTCTCCCAGTCAACAAATGAGAATTAGACTTTATGTGGTCACAGTGTGTTATAATACGACCCGAGCTGAACGTTGAAACAAGGCAGCCTTGTAAAACGGTCTCGTTGATCAAGAGTCAACAAAAAAACCTTTCACTTTTTAAAACATTGCTACAGCATCACGAGTTTAACATTATGTCCTATCACAGCCTGCAGAACACTTCAGTTCAGACACGCATCTCACAGCAGGCTGCAATTTCCAGAAGGCACTCGCTCACCTTTCTCAAGAAAGCAATTTTTAACAAAAAGCTTTGCTGCTGCGGCAGTGTAGATCTGTAAATCTCTGCAGGCACTACCATGATATTAAGTGTTTGTGCAACACACAATTCCACAAAATGAGAAACAGCATGCAGACACTTTGCCAGAGACTCATGCAGTTGCTGGCAGCATTCACCTAACTGAAAGAGAAAAGCAGTTTAGGAGTACAGCTAGAAGAGTTACTAGCCTGTCATACGCTGCTATCATGAAGTTGAGGAGAAGGCTGATGGATTGCTCTACGCTGATTTGGTGAGTAGAAGGAAGGCGTTTGTTGAGCTGGTAGTAGATGGATGAAATGATTGTTTCTAGTCGAGACACGTTGATCTCTGTGTTATGATCCAAAGTGTTAAGGCCATTATCTCGGAAGGCTTCAATCATATTCCAGATATCAACAAGATGAACTAAAAATAAAGGGGAAAAAAAAATTAACTTCTATTCTGTAATGCACACAATCTTACATCTAAGGCATTACATCCGAATATGACACTAGCTTTTATTTTAGAGTCAACCACTACTTACTCATCTTCAAAGTGAGAAACAGAGTCTTGATACTCATACTGAGCTCACACCAGATACTCGAAAGCAACAGCAGTGCCCTGAGTCCACATGGGCCTTTTATTCTGCCCCTCAAAGGAGAGCAAAGCCACATAAAGGAGAAACGTGCTCCTCCACCATCACCTAGTGCTGTAGCCAAATTATGTATTTTCTTCTGAGAAAGACATCAGCCACATTCAACATCCACTACAGTAACCAGTTTGTAATGTTGAACATCCCTGTACTAACTAAAAGCTCAGTGCTAGGAAAGGAACTTGATGTTCCAGTTAAACTGTGACTGCTTCCAGCTGGTGCCAAGAGAAAAATACTTCATAAACATACGTCTTGAACTCCAAACTGTCCCTAAATTATCCCACTGTAGCTGTTCAGGTATCTAACTGTTAACAACGCAGTGAAAGTGTGCCATAACCACACTAAGTGATCTGTAGAACCGCATCAAACAATGTTTGACAATGTTTCAGTGTTTGAAAAGCATGCAGGGCAGTGGGTAAGACATCTGAGGACCAGCAGGAATCCATTGGTCCAAACCACCAATTCACACCAAACACACACCCTGGATCACCGCCTGGTGCAGACAAAGATCACAAGAGCACTCTGGTTTATGCATATATGGAAATGAAAGGTTACTCAAGGCATATGTACGGCACCAGTGAGTTAGGCCCCAAGTGTGTATGGCACTATAATTAGCAGATCTTGATACCTTGCTACTGATTAAGAGACCTTTTTAATTCAAAAGCATGGTTAGTGTTTTTCATTTAGGAAAAGCATACCACTTTTCCTAAGGCATGAAGAATGTGTGGAGCTGCAGTTTGCATCTGCAAACATCTGCAGAACTCCTCAGCTGCTCTCCTGTTCTCTCCCACACCAGATTCATCACTGGTAGGAGGCAGCTGCTCCAATAGTCTACCAAGCATTTTGTTTGGTCCAGTTTAATAAAGGAAACAGAACCCTTGGGTTCATCCTTACTTTGGTGAACTATTTAACATGGAAGGCAATGGAAGAGAATAAGAAAACATACAGTGAGTAGCATGGCATAAACTTCAAGTGCTCCCTGTGGTTGCTATATATACGCCATGATGGTGGTTCCACTGGAACAGGCTGCCCAGGGAGGTGGTGGAGTCTCCTTCTCTGGAGATGTTCAAGACCTGCCTGGATGCCTACCTGTGTGACCTGCTGTAGGGAACCTGCTTTGGCAGGGGGGTTGGACTCAATGATCTCTGGAGGTCCCTTCCAACCCCTGCAATTCTGTGATTCTGCGAAATGCAGACACCTCTGTGCTGGTGATCATCACCAAGCTCACAGCTGCATCCAGCTGTCTGCTGGCTTCTGTTCCACCATGGTGGAAAGGAGACAAAACAGTCCGGGGCTGGCTGCACTGAAGTATGTCAGTCTGGCCCAGGTACTTCAGGTTTTCCTTTAAGCATTAGAAACTAAAACTGAAGACACTATAAACACCGGTCAAAAATCACTGCCTCTTTAATGATCCCTAATTTTAAGTATTGTTTATTATTGTTGATCATTCCTGCTATATTTAAAATTCACATGGGTAGAATATTTGCATGAGAAATTGACAAAGAGTGATTACAACTTACGGTTACATCGCTTCTGCACAAAGCGCAGCTTGCAGGCTGTCCGATACGTTGAAAGTCTGATGACATCAAAGTTCTGGGCTCCTGTGAATAAAAAAGAAGTTTGTGTTTTTTCTTGCCCCTACGACACTCAGCTTATTTGTTTACTTTACAAGTGATGCTGACTGGTTCTTCACACATCATCCCTGTTATGGGACAGTGACCAAGATGAGGAAATGGGAGCAGTGTATTACAGACTGATGGAAGCGTCAGACTGACATGAGAACTCTGAAATCCCAAAATGGAAACAAGAATTGGATTGAGTTGCAAGTGGGCACAAAGAGGAGCTCGCTGCTGTTGGGTGGTGGGTGCACAAAAGACAGAAAAAAAGGAGAGTGATGCTCCTACCACAGTCTGCATTGCTACCCCCACCATTCCCCCCCCAGGAGCACGCTTTCCTTCTCCCAAGCAGATCTACACCAGGTAAAAAGCAGAAGAAAAAGTACAGAGGAGAGAAGCCCAACCTCACCAACATCTCCCACTTCAAGATGCTTAAAACTTTTATTGTACCTTCAACCAATCCCACATCATGTAAACGCTGTTATCTGTCACTCATCTGCACCACATCCACCAGCTCCTGCCAGCACTGCAATTACTTTGAACATCACAAACCTGGGCAATCCCTGAAACTTGTATTAATCCTCTGCCAAAGGCCAAACAGATCTGAGCATCTCCTGGGCTGATCAGATGAGATGATAAATGATGTGGGGATGGCAAATGACACCGCTCTTAAGTCCGGTATCGATCATTTCAGATCTGGAAGAAGCCAACAACTGGTCCAGGCCTTGCAAATTTCATTAATCATAAACAGAAATGTCTTAACTGGCTCACATTTCAACAGCACTTGTGGCTGTAATCAGTGTACGCCCTGTAGTCAATGGAGTTCTAAGGAGGAGTGTGAACAATCTGGCTGCACAGCAGTGGGTGCACATGGATCCTGCACCTCCCATGTTCTCACAGGAGTGCACAAAAGTAACATCTGTGCAATCTTTCAGGCTTCTGCAATGTCACTGCCTCCATGAAGACCGGACTGAGGAACAGGGAAAACTGACTCAAAGAATGCAGACCTCTAAAAAAGCACACGCACCAAAAAACAACCCCAAAAGCAACAAACCCACATCCTCCTGAAGAAGGCACGTCGCTGCTGTATCGGGGTCATGCTCAAAGGTGATAACTTTTTTTCCTCCTGCAGCATTCTGAATTCAGAAACCAATCTGCAAACCTTTGAGTCCACGCTCACCAACTCACAACTGCAAATTTCAAAAGCCACCTTATTTGATCAGTACAGGAGACGGGCAGATCGGTTTGGTCTTTTTGTCTTTTGGGTGTTTTGTAAGAGATTTGCAAATATAACGCCGTCACTTGCTAAGACTCACACAGACCTGTAGGCTGTCTTGAAACCAGAGAACATGAGGTGAAAAGCACTTCCTAAGAGCAGTGAGAGCAATGACCTCGGCTCCAATGAGAAGCTCCCCAAAGCTCACCCAGGAGTGGCACCAGATGAGCCAACCTGGGCAGCATTCTGCTGGGCAGTGTGGTACAGCAAGCATTCCTATGTTATTTCTCAGTACCATCTTTAGAAAACTTATCTCAGATTAAGTATCTGATTTAGCAGTTGGCAACCCTACCTGTGGCAGGAGGTTGGAACTAGGTGATCCTTGAAGTCCCTTCCAATCCAAGCCCTTCAATGATTTATGAGCTGGACAAATAATGTAAGCTGAAGTATTCAGATCCAAGGCTGGACTAAAATAACTCATTCTGTGCTTTTTAGGCAATATTCTTTCAAAATTCTCCATTACAGTGCTTAGGTCTACCTTCCATCACATGAAAAACAACTCGAACAGATGATAAGTCTTCTCAAACTTTGTCAATCAGAACCTTTTGTATGGCTAGCCAAGGACCAGCCACTGCACTTCATTTTTAGACCTCTTTAGCAGGGTCCCTTGTGATAGACAATGAGAAATGGTTCCCAGTTAAAAGAGAAGATATTTTGCATCGATACAGGGAAAAAGCTTTTCTTATGTTAAGCGTGGTGAAGCACTGCAACAGGTTGCCCAAGGAGGCTGTGGATGCCCCATCCCTGCAGGCATTCAAGGCCAGGCTGGATGTGGCTCTGGGCAGCCTGGGCTGCTGGTTGGTGACCCTGCACACAGCAGGGGGTTGGAACTGGATGAGCACTGTGGGCCTTTGCAACCCAGGCCATTCTATAACGGGGCTCTTAGCACCCAATCAAGCCGTAAGTGTCCCTGTTCACTGCAGGGGAGTTGGAACAAACGGCCTTTAAAGGTCCCTTCCAACTCAAACAATTGCTCAGGGAGGTGGTGGGGTCAGCGTCCCTGGAGGTGTTCAAGGAACATGGAGATGTGGCAGTGAGGGATGTTGGCAGCGGGCATGGTGGGGTGGGCTGGGGTTGGACTGGGTGATCTTAGAGGTCTTCTCCAACCTGAATGATTCTATGACTTTATATATTCTGCAGGTCAGGAAATTAGAACAGCTTACACAGATTTCTTGCTAGCTCCACAAATAATACAAAATCTACAAACACACCCTCAGGTGGTGTGTTCAGTGTGGATGAAAGTCATAAAATCTACTTCTGCCTCCTAAGAGGAATCCTCTAAATGCCAGTGAACATCCGTGAATGAAGATCTCCTGGAAAGAACACCTCTGCATTCATCTTCACAATGAAACATGCTGTCTTTCTCGAGACAGATGAACACCTCCAATCTGCCAACCAACATGTTAAGAGTGCCTTAGAGAGAAAAGCAGCTCAAGGAGTCCACACAACAGTACTTCCACTGAAAAAAAACCACCATGAACCACAGCTGCAAAACCCAACAGAACACCTTCTATAAACAGATGATGGAAGAATTATCTATTCTGTTAGATAATTAGAGGAATTGCAAGTATTTTTTAGCAATTTAGCCAAAACTAAAAACAAGCAAGTAGATTCCTGCTCCCCTTGCCTTGGGTGGCAGATTCAAACACTGCCAGCAGATCTCTTTGAAGACAACACTATAATCAAACATGCGTGCTTCAGAAGAAATCTTTTGCTAAAGTAGCTTTAAAGGTATCACCAACATGCAAGGTAATTAGAGCACCAAAGCAGGAATTAAGTGACTCTGAGAATCTTCATCAAATTGACACTGAAGAGAAACTGTATGGCTGCACACAGTTACTGATGAGATGCCAGTTACCTGTAGAAACCTAGCTGCACCAAATGATCACCAGGTGATTACTGGAGATACAAGACACGTGTAGTACTCTGATGTATCAGACAAAGCTCTTCTAATGGAGAAGCACTACTGTCATTTCACAAGATCCAAATGAGATTCAATTTGGGATTTCATGTGCCAGTGCAACCACCTTTGCTTAAGCAGAGCAGAGGCACAGAAAGAGATGAGGTGTGTAGGCTGGAGAGTGCAGGTGTTGGCTTGTGCCACGTGCTGAGCACACAGAAAGGGATCTCACTATAACCTCAGACATAAACCAAGCTGGAGGGCAGGGAGGAATACAACCCAGACAGCTCTCGCATGAAAGGGAGCAGTTATAAATTGGCCAGGAACGAAACCGTTCTTGAAATGACAAGATGCTTATAACCACACTCAGAATGATGCTCTGGAAATCCTCCAGCAAAACATTAGCACAGGTATATTATCTGTTTAAGAAAGGCATTCACCAACCTAAATTCTGGATTATAGGATGTGCCGGCCTAACGCAAGGAGTTTCATTCAGTCCTGTGTTTCAGTAGGAAAGTAAAGCAACACGAAGACATGCAAACACACACAAACACACACACACACAATCTTTCATTTCTAACTGCTCACATCTTTTTAAAAGGCCATGTGTCATTCTTTAAATGAGATTACCTCCAGACAGGCACTTGATTTATACTAACAATTACAGGCTCTCTTTGGGCATCACGATGCACCTTAAGGTGAAATACGCCCTTTCCAACTTTATTTATTTTACAAGCTGTCTACAAACTTCAGAAGTCCCAATATATGGGAAACATGAATGCTCCTTTTAAAAGGAGCTTGGCAAAGTGTAGAAGTGTAGCACTGCACGGCTCTGTTACCCATCTCCTGCACTCTCCTCCTGACCAGCACCCAGGATGCTTTTCACCAGCTCAGGCAATGGTCTTGAGGAAACCAGATGTAAATGATTGGGTGAAATCCTAAAAACAAAGCTCTGTGTAAAGAATAAATGATGTTACTTTCCAATCTCCTACTTACTCATTTCCATGAACAGCTGTCTCTTCTCCGCCATTGTCCTCCTCCTCTTCCCACTCTCCTCAATCATTCTGAAGACAAAAATGGCAATGAGTGTCTGCACCAGAATTCCTGTTACAAGAGCAACTTAACGTGAACAATATCATTATATTCATCAACCAAAACAGTTTGGTTAGATTTGGAAAATGAAAAGAAGAGCCAAGAGTTGGACTCGATGAACCTTACGGGTCCCTTCCAATTTGGGATATTTTGTGATTAAGAGTAGAGAAAAACAGGCATTTCCTCATATCTACAGCATTCCATAGCAGAGACAGTGAAATGCCTCTTCAAGCTGTGATAATATAGGAAACAGTAATTCTGACATTTCAGTTTCTAACCTTACGTTTGTAAAACTCAGAGATCCTTACAAGCACGATGTTGGGGTGAAGCAAGGAGTTGTCTTGAAACAAAAGTTGTAAGACTATCACCCAACTTTGAAACAAACTGCCCTTTTTGTCTTGGGGAAACAATGAAAGAAGTGGCATAGAAATAGTGGGACTCATATCCCGAGCTGAGGAGCCACAGGACAATGCAGTACTTTCTATAGCTTACTTCATAAGGGAGTCTCAAAGGACAACTACTGAATCTCCATCGACCGCAGCACAACAATAAGCAACTAAATTCAACATCAGTGTAAAGTTGTATTATTCTGTTGTTATTCACCAACTAATTAAACATGTTTTTTAAATGACTTCAACAATGAAACCAACCAACCAACAACAAAACAACAAGAAAATGCCTAACAATCATTCTACACTTCATCAGAAACCAACTCCAAGGGAGCTGGCCGGCTCATCGTCACGCAGCACAATGGCAAGACAGATTTCATTAGGCTTAAATGTCACCCAAGAAAAAGAAGCTGTGTCTTGGCACTTAACATGTGCTCTGATTAACAGCATCCCTCAGCAGTCCTCCACTCTCTGTTAATTATTCTCTGATAAAGAACCCAACATGCATTCATCCTGGAAGCCACCAAGACCTTTAAACTGAGCAGTTCATAAAACGAAAATAACTGCATGGTTGTATCTGGAAATACTTTGTTTCCTACTTCAGACAATCGTAGACTTGGAACCAACGTCCTTCTTGCTATCCTCAAACGCTGCCCCAAGCTTAGGAGCTATTTTTCAGTGCTAACATTCCCTTTATCCCCATAGGCATGCCATCTTGAAGAATGCCAGCTGCTCTACCAGCCAGCAGCTTTATTTCAAATGCCAGCACCTCTCTAAATTCCACAACAGATGGACCCCATGGGTTGGGTTAATTACTCGGTCTTCTAAATAGCTTTAATAGACACCATTTTATCAAGACACAAGGCACGATACCACTGCATTTTCTGCAACATCGAGACCCACCAGGCTGACATGACAACTGCTGGCCTTGGGCTTTGAGTGCATGTCCCTCCTCCCACCTCCCAACAACCTGCTCCCATCTGCAGTTTCCTGCAGTGCTGGGACCGGTCCTCATGTCACAGCTGTGTAGAATCACAGAATGGCCAGGGTTGGAAGGGACCTCAAGGATCATGAAGCTCCAACCCCCTGCCACAAGCAGGGCCACCAACCTCCACATTTCATACCAGACCAGGCTGCCCAGGGCCCCATCCAACCCTGGCCTTGAACACCTCCAGGGATGGACGGGGCATCACAGCCTCTCTGGGCAGCTGTTCCAGCACCTCACCACTCTCTCTGTAAAGAACCCTGACATCCAACCTAAAGCTGCAATGCAGAACATTTAAAGTCATTATATCACCCTGACATCAGCCCCTTCCCCTATAGAGGCTTCATCATTTTGCTTGTACCAGGATTTGAGATTTTTAGAGGCCGTTCATCTACCAGTGCTATAGAACACTATCACAGAATTCACAGCCAGTAGGCTGAGGCTGACCACGGTACGGGCTTCTAGGGCATCTACCACTATTCTTTGTACTCTGTGCAAGCAACGAGTGATCCATCTGCTCAGTGACACTCTTGAACTGAGATCTGGGTACGCAAGCCAGCCTATCCACACTATAAGAGCAGAAACACATGAATGCAGCCTGATCAATTGAAACTCAGGACCTTGTGCCAGGGAAGGTTCAGGTTCGTTATTAGGAAACATTTCTTCTCCAAAAGAGCAGTGCTGCAGTGGCACAGCTGCCCAGGGAGGTGGTGGGGTCACCAAACCTGGAGGTGTTTCAGAACCATGGGGATGTGGCAGTGGGCAGTGGGCATGGTGGATGGGTTGGACTTGGGGATCTTAGAGGTCTTTTCCAACCTGAATGATTTTCTATAATGAATAAGAAGAAATAATCTTCTCTCTTTCACAAGGGAGCACTTGAAACATTCAGCAGGTGAAGAGCTCAACAACCACAGAACCAAACAAGTTGAAAAGACCTCCAAGATCATCAAGTCCAATGGTCAACCCATGCCTACCATGTTCACTTAAAAATGTTCCTCTGTGCTACATCTCCTGCACTCACTCACCAAAATAAAAAACAACCAACAAACCCTGTTTGTAAAGCTGGAACAAAGAGGTACAGAAGGACCTGTGAGCCTCAGCAGAACCACAAACAGCCGGGTCCCTAGAAGGGACTTACAGCAAAGCCTCACTTGCAAGCAGAGGAAAGATACTTCAACCTCTTGAAAACCAATGACTGGCTGAGAAACAGGCAATGCTTCTTGCTATCTGCATAAAGCTAGAAGCCAAAACCCTGCAAACGTTACAGATCACACATTAAGAACATTTTTAAGCGCGTTATCCTAAAAAGCTGAATTTCACTTTAAAAGCCTGGGTTAAAACTGAAGCACTGAGTTCCGTCTTCGATTCGGCTCCTCTGTATGAGTAGGAAACCTGCTAAGGACCACCAGGAGCTGATTTCTAACCCCTCTGCTGTATTTCACTTCTGCCCAAGAATGTAACCTCACTCGTACAGTAAAGAGATCATTTTCTTATCTCTGCTCTATACTGATGTGTGCTTTGCAGTGAGACAACGTATTTAGTCTGGTTTTGTGTTGCTTTCCCTTTTCCTGCCCCAATGCTTTCCCAATTAAAGATCTTTATCCTATGGTATAAAACAAACCTGTTTCATTTTTTCCTCTTGCTACTAAAAAGACACAGAAGTCCTGGCCACAGTAAATACTGAAGACACAAATGAAACAGAAAGGAAATTGGAGGTCTGCAAATGGCTTCAGGTGCTAAGTGAGACCAGCAAGTTTTCAGAACTTACAGTATGGGTGAACAAAGAGCAACACAGGCCTTAATTTCATGAGTTTAAATAACACTCAATTCAACCAAAGGCTGAAATGTCAGCGTTTGCAGAAACGTGCTTGGACACAAACCACCTACACTGCCATCAGCCTTTTAAACATCATGGAAAACCTAAAAGGTGATAAAGATCTGAATTTCACACCCAGATGTGCTGCACAACGAGCATCCGCTTTAGCTGCTCTTGCAAAACGTTCCCTTTTCCCTTAAAGCAGAAAAGCAGTATGACAACATAACCCACCCTGCTAGGTGATGGTGATGGGACAGTAAACCCTGGACGGCTTCCATTGGCATTTCCTCCTCAACAAGCTGCTCTGTTACCTGTAGCAATCTGGAGGGGACACTTGCATTATGATAGCTCCTGCTTCACTTAGCAAAAAGGACGACGAGGAAGTTAGACTAGATGGCCTCCAGAGATCCCTTCCAATCTTAAGGATTCTATGAGGTTCAATCCAATGTATTTTTTTCCTTAAAGGCTTTTACGATCAAATGCAGCTGAATCCGCAGCCAATCCTTCTGGCTGGGCAGCTCCCAGAGTTTCAAGGATTCTGCTCTGCATGGAAAGCTGCAAGCTCAAAGACGTTCTACACATTTTGGTCTTCATATTGGTTCTTGCCATGCAGGTGCTCTATTCAAGTCCAACTCAATGAACTAGAGAATATTCTCCCTGCAGCAGCAGAGCAGTGCTGACTTTAGCGTAAGAATGGTGCTGGTTCAACACAGTACAGCTCTGCTTTATGTCAAGATGCAGTAACTTTGCTCAAGGAGGCAGATATGAGATCAGTAAGATGAATACATTGCTGTCAAAGAGTTCACCTTCCACCTAGCAGAGAAGCCAGCAGAGGTATTGATGCTGACTGTGCTCTACACATCTTAAAGTCAAGCATGCTCAGGCATGCTAAGAGATACAATAGTGACAATTATTTTTACTTTATATACATATATATGTATATATAAGCTATATTTTATACTGCGATGGAAGGAGCATTCCCACATTCTATGGGATAATTCAGCTCTTCACATTTCTCCCTTTTTCCTTACCTTTGAAAATTCTCTCCCGTGCCCGCAATACATACAAGCATTATTTAAGCCTGGTTGGATAAAAAACTAATGACATAATAAAAGGTACAGCCAGAATGCTTTCCTCCCCTAGACGTGCTGCAATGGGCTCAGCCACTGATGGCACCACAATGCTTCTTGATCACTCACAGCTCAAGCACAGAAGGACCTCATCAGGCCAATACTACAGGACCTATATTACAAGGTTTCGCTCTTCTTGGAGCTCATCAGCTGTAGGTAACGGCCCAGACAAATGGCATTGCCTTTTCTATGGATGCCCCATCCCTGGAGGCATTCAAGGCCAGGCTGGATGTGGCTCTGGGCAGCCCGGGCTGCTGGTTGGTGACCTGCACACAGCAGGGGGTTGGAACTGGATGAGCACTGTGGGCCTTTGCAACCCAGGCCAGTCTATGATTCTGTGATTCTATCAGTGGGAGGAGCCTGACCATGGAGCCAACTCCAGCTAATGCCACAGCCCTTGCTCCCGACCCAAGCACGGCCACCGTCCCAAATCACACCATCTGTTCTTCCCCAACCATCACCATGGGCATCTCCTGCCATGTAATAAATCACAGCCTGAAATGCTGTCATCCTGGTTCCATATCTGCAACTTCAGCTGTTGCCTCACTGCTTTCTAATTACTTTAATTTAGGGACTAAATAAATCAGCTTCTGAGCTACTGAAGGGATGCGTTGCTTTTTTCCCCTTGTTTTGGGGTTGGTTTTTAAATACTCCATTTGTTTTTATTTTGCAATTCCACCCGTGAGACACCCCCCAAAGGAAGCTCTGATAACTTGAAGATCTGATAACCACTATCAGGCCCTGTTTATGACCAAATGCTTCAGCCCCATCAGCTACCCAGAACACAAATACAAGTTCATTTATGAAAGATTAAATTTAAGTTTGCTTAGCATCCTCGTGTTCATTTATTTCAGCTTCTAAACTTCCACGGTTCCCATTTTCATTCGATGTCAGTGATTTTCAACAGTTTATTTTATCTTAGAAGTCTTAAATTTGTGGCTCTGGATCTTAAAGTCTTATCTTAAACGTGATAATGCTGCTGTCCCACTTCCTTGCTCCTCTCTTCACTTCCCATTCTCATATGGTTCAAACTCTGATCTCCCTCTCATCAGCAGTCAAACACAAATGTGTGTAAGAGATCAAAAGTCCTCCCCTAAAAGCTGGGCACAGGTTGCCCAAGGAGGCTGTGGATGCCCCATCCCTGCAGGCATTCAAGGCCAGGCTGGATGTGGCTCTGGGCAGCCTGGTCTGCTGGTTGGTGACCTGCACACAGCAGGGGGTTGGAACTGGATGAGCACTGTGGGCCTTTGCAACCCGGGCCATTCTATGATTCATATTATGATTATTTACTTCACCATACATCTTACCAGGAAAAAAAGAAGAGCTCTAGAAATTATTTCAGGGGCACGTATTTAACAGGTTTAAGGTCCCTTCCAATCCAAACCATTCAATGGAAACTCAAGGAGAGAAAAAGAGCAGCCACTCACGCTAACAGACCCCCATCACCTTCTTTAAAGCGTATTTTACACACTTCTGATCATTCTTCTAGTTCAACTACAATTTCAAATTTAGTTCCCAACGCTGAATGGAATTCATTAACGCATAAATAATGATGCACGGAAATATTAAGAACACTTTGATATGTTACCTCAAAATCTACATCAACGAACAGAGCATCCATGAAGAACCACACACACGTTCTGGTACCACAGATCCCAACAAAGCTCAAATGCTTGCTTAAGATCTTCACAAGCCATAAGGGATAGCAGTTGAGAAGAGCAGAATCAGAGAATCACCAAGGTTGGAAAAGGTGGAAACGACCTACAAGATCATCCTGTCCAACCATCCACCCATCACCAATTGCTCTCACTAAACCCTGTCCCTCAACACAACGTCCAAACGCTCCTTGAACACCTCCAGGCTCGGCGACTCCACCACCTCCCCGGGCAGCCCACTCCAGTGCCTGACCACTCATTCAGAGATCACTCTTTCCCCTGTGTGTGTTTGTTAATTTTACTTGAATACAGTGGTTCAGGAGCTGCTTCTAAAGAAGACTGAGCACAAAGCACACAGATAAGATACAGTATCTTTCCCTTCAGTTAATGGGCAATCAAGCAGTTTGGAACCAAAAGCAGCGCTAAGATAGGCCCACTGCCCTGCTCCATCTACACTCAGGTCCATCTCCAGCCTACCTGGATGGCTACAACACTTCAGCACAGCAATGTTTCAGCGCCTGCATTGTAACTATTTGTACACTGCCTGGAACAGCAACAAATCTGTGCCCTCAGGATCTGTTGGGGCAATGCCAGAGCAGGGAAAGGCAGTGACACAGAGCGACAGAGAAGCTCTGCAGCTGATGTTCTCAAAGTCATAGAGGATAAGTAAGCTGTAAGGGAATGGCACCAGTTGATACATCAGGGATGCACATCTGCATACAGAGTTTCAGAAGAGAGGGAAATGTTAAGCATGCCGAACAGGAAACCCACAAGCTATTAAGGACAGCACTGCGTGCTTCAGCACACAGCATACAGTCAGATCAGCTCCCCAGAAGTTAGGGGAAGAATCACAGAATGGCCTGGGTTGCAAAGGCCCACAATGCTCATCCAGTTCCAACCCCCTGCTGTGTGCAGGTCACCAACCAGCAGACCAGGCTGCCCAGAGCCACATCCAGCCTGGCCTTGAATGCCTGCAGGGATGGGGCATCCACAGCCTCCTTGGGCAACCTGTTCCAGTGCCTCACCACCCTCTGGGGGAAAAACTTCCTCCTAAGATCCAACCTAAACCTCCCCTGTGTCAGTTTAAAGCCATTCCCCCTTGTCCTATCACTATTCACCCTCATAAACAACCGTTCCCCTTCCTGTTTATAAGCACCCTTCAAAAAGGGAAGGATGCACAAAAGTTGGGCACAGGGACCAAGAACAAAAATGCTTTCCTTTAATAACTTTCTAAGTGTTGAATAGTGCCTACTTCATATACTCAAACTGTTAAAAACTGAGATACAAGTGGGTATTGATTGCAACTCTATTCATTTTTCAATACATAAGTTGGCCAGCAAAAGCTCCCCAACAGATAGCACATTACAAAGCCCCTTCCTGTATCTTCCAAATTAAGTTTACCTATAAGGTTCATTGGCACATTTTATTACATATGTGCATTGCTTTAGCACAGCTGAGAGGTTCAAACACTTCCGTTCCTTTCGGTGAGCCTTGAAAGCCCACATGACTGCAAGAGAGCCACGAAGCTAAGCCTAGCCACAGGTTATCAGTAGGAACCTATTTAAACACTAAACCAAACGTACACCTTACAATCACGATTTCTCTTTGGCACTGAGAGAAAAACCATAAAATATAACTCAACATAAGCGTTACAAATTTGAGTCCTTATCACCAAATAATCCTGAAAGCACAAAGTTAAAAGCAGCAGTGATGATGCTAAGAGAAGCAAGCTGTGCTCAGGGGGCAACTCTGAGAACTCTGCCAACTGGAAAACTCTCCTACCTAACACAGCAAAGTGTTCTGCAAATGCAATGGCAGCACCGACCCTACAGACTGCCCACAGCTGTGCTAAGGGAGTTCCCTTCCCTTTTAAAAGGAGTTTTAAAGGGAAATGATACACAAAGAGCCTTCTTTGAGAAATAAAAAGCTTGTAAGAAGAGCAGCTAGCAGATGAGTGGAAGCACGAAGCTCCTCCCTGAAGGATCCTGGTTACAAGGAATTGGAAGCTGCCACTCTTAATGCCACCCTGTGGTACTGAGTGCACAGTATATACAGGCTGACTGAAAACGCCTGTGTTTTACCAGCGATGCCACAAAAGCCCTTCTTTTTGCATCACAGCTTCTAGGTAAGTTTTCTATACCGTTCACCATTGTTATTCATGTTAGTACTGATAAATAACGTGATGAATAAGAAAGCTCACAGACGGCAGGAGTTTGCCTTTCCAAACTGCCTGCAAGAGGAGCAGCAGCCTGCTGCAAGGAAGCAGGAGCTGGGGGCAATCTCGAGTGTCTACTGCTACCACAGCATCTGCATTCCCAACAACACAGGACTGTAATGAGCAGGTCAGGCTGGGGGCTCATAGGGCTCTCACAGATCTGCAAAATGAAGACAAGAACCCTCTGCAAGAAAAGCAGCAGAATCCCAAGGAAGATTTAAGCAACAGGATGGTACAGTCAAGGCAAAAGCAGCCTGGGACACTACCTCAGGGAGCTGCAGAGGAAAGCACAGCAGGACTGCAAGGCTCAGAAGAATGACACTGGAATCACAAGGTGAATTGGGCAATCTGGCAAATACCTTTGGAGAAAGTGCAGCACAGACCACAGCCAGCCTCGCTAACAGTACTTGTTCTGATGAG